AAAACCCCCCCCCCCCCCATACAATAGAAGTGTACAACTCTCTAAAATAATATGATGGACCCCATAGCCTCCTCTTGGAGTAGAAACATATCACTAATGTACCTCACTTGCTTTTCTCTAAAGAAGTAGAAAAAAAACCAATACAAAATTAAAAGAATACAGCATTAAGAGCTATGCATTACTCCCCCCCCCCCCNTAAGCATGACATGTTTTATGAATGACCCCTTGATATCAGTTACTTTACACTTTTGTTGTAGATTTGAAATTGAACTACGATCTTTAATACACCATGACCAAAGATGAGAAGAGGCTGATGGAACAAGATTTTCTAATACAATACACAGAAAATTGCAGCTATATTTACTCAAGTTTCTCTCAATAGTTGTGACTACTGGACACATCTTACATACCTCGGATTTAATTTCCTTAAATAAGAGAGCAGTGAACAATACCATTACAAAAATTCAGACTCAAAGAGATGATACAGAGGATTATTTGTTCTATCACTTTGACGACACGGAAAAAAAGAGAATTAAAAGGCAGTAAAATATTGTGAGGGATACAAGGAAAGATTAAAAAAAGTAAGCATGGTCCACTCGATACTTTTTGAAAATGAATTGAAAAACTACTTTTGCAGAGAGACGTGAGTTTTACGCCAACCCTTGATGCTGCCCTATTTTCAAGACCTGTTTTTTAGGGTTTCCCATTTTCTCACAACCCAACCATGTGGTTGAGAAGTTTCTACATTTTTGCTAACCACTTTATAATTCTTTTAACAAACATTCTTTCAAATACCCTTACTTTTTTCACAGGAAATAAACAGAGCCAAAGCTTCAGATTTTGAGAGGAAATTTGTGAATTGTTCATTTCCTGCTGTAAAAAGGCATGATTAGATGTTAAAACAAAAGGAGAAAAAAAACCCATACCTGAGTTGGAACTGTCTGAATCCATAATCGTCTTGGGGTCATTAAGTGTCCAGCTCGTGGAATTTTTCTCCGCAGCAAACGGGATGCTAGAAAGGAAAGTAAAAATTCAAGACAATTCCTCTTGCAGATTTCATTTTGTGCCTACTCTAGTTAAACATTCTCTAGGTAGTCATAGAATAATTCCTCTGATAAAAACTTGATTTTCTACAGCCCTTTCCTCATGCAGATAAATAGTTCAGTCTCCTAGAAAAACATAAAAGAGGGGAGGGGAGATTTTGAAACACTGCAACTACAACACATTTTGGCAGTTTCGCCATCGATATTCTGAGAGGTTGTAATCGTGATGACATATATTACAGCTTTTTAAAAATTTGATACCAACCACTGTTATCGACAAAACTCTTTAGATGAACCTGGCTTTGGCTTGGCGCTATGTGTGCAATAACTTTGTGGCAGCGTACGACGTTCTTGCACATGTTTAGCCCGGCAGGCTTAAACCGTGCAAAGTGAGTTGCACAGAGTAAAAAATGTTCTTGTCTCAGACCTTGAACGTTTCTACTACATACAGAGTGAAAATTTTTGGGATGCAAATTTTGAGGAAGGTTAACTTTAAAGAAATCAGCAACAGTTGTGTCACAGCGACTTGATCTGTGGAAAATAGGAATACAAAATTGAGTATTGCTTCCATTGCAAGATAAAGTTTATTATTTGAATTTACTGAAATCTTCTGTGGAGAGTGTCCTAGTGCTGGTTCGTCTTCAACTAAGGTACCTCATATTAGTGAATCTGATTAAGTATAGGTATTGACAATATTCAAAACATTCAAGAAGTTCAGATAAGGCATATTCGTCATAGCCCCATATTGGAAATGATGGGTACTCTATCGATATTACATCCTGGGAGTTATGCTCACCACTTTCAAGTGTTCCTCTGGCACAGGAGAAAATCCCTTCATTGTTTGGTGCGTTATCAGAGGAACCCTGAGTTCCTTCCATGATGACAGAGTGATGATCGCAGAGTCACTGAGGCTATGGACTTTTCAGACGATGAATGCTGGAGAACTGAAGATTGACAAAAGTGGCAACAAGCACATTGCTACAAGGGTAAGCTCTACAGAAAAACTTAAATTCAAGGGGGAAAAGGAAACACTGCTTGTTTCACATGGTGATATGTTGAAAAGTAAGATGCAGCGCATTATATATGCTGATAAGAAACTATGTTGAGGTGGTTAGTGATAAAAATGATAATGGGCGTTAGAGGATGAACCCGAGAGCTGAAGTTAAAACTTTGTGTTCACTTAGACGCTCGAAAGTCGATAAAGTTTCAATTTTACCCTGACACGTCCTGCTACCACTCTACGACGAATCAAAAGTTTGCGTAGGCGACAAATCGCGACCGAAAGTTCTAAACTTAACTTTGGACTTCGTAATCAGTGATATGATAGGTAGGTAAAAATATAAATAATAATGAGGAGCGGAGGAGAGGGGATCCCGTTTCCTTTGAATGACGTCACGCTGTATTTTGAATTTGCTTTGCTGCCTGTTTTTACCAACAATATTAGTTGTTATCATCTACTTAGCAATAAATTTTAATCAATGTTCCTTTTATATTCGTTCATTATTTTGAAAAATATTTTAATTGGCACTCAAACTATACTTTGTGACGTCATACATCCAAAACCAGAACCGGAAACGCCAGATGCAAGAAAACAACAACAGAAACTGAAAGTGCCGCGAAAATTCCCCTCGTGTACTGATAAGGTTATAAACAAAGACTTCACGCTCACGAACAGATTTTTTTTTACTACCAATAACTTTAGAAACTTCAGTGATTAACGTTTTCGAAATTCTCAAGTTTAACATTCTATTTACTCTCTCAATTAAGTATGTCAGTCAGCACTGACGAAAAAATGGACACCAGTGAAGTTGAGGCCTTACCTTCATCATCGAAAGACCCACCTTCCTCGCAACCAGGATCTAAGGATAATTTACCTTGGTAAGCAACTATTCAAGTTCTGCACTTGTTGGATATCATGCACAAGATTTTAATCACTCCTCTCTACCAAGCAGCATGCATTCCTGAAACAAAATTTCCTTCTATAATCGCAGATACAGCGAGGAAGCTCACAATTTTTAATGACGCTTTTCTGCAGCACCGCATTATTGATTACTGATATTTTCAAGTACAATGTGCTTCTTTCAGGACTGGTCATGCAAAATTTCAGCCACTCAAAATGTGTAGTCATATAGTCGAGTGAACTTTCAATTCTATCATCCAGTCTTGTCTATTAATGCACTGGCCAAAACTGTGGACTGAGAAATGAATTTTCATGTTTAGTAGAGTGGTCAACACAAGGCCAAGGTTAAATGGAGCTATGTGACAAGTCTGCTTTGTCATTCGTCCGTACCCAGTTTGTATAAAGTGGTCAGTTGCCTTTTATTTCGTCCACAAGAACTTTTGCGGACCATGGACCAATCCTGCAACATAATGACCCTTTGCTTGTTATACCTAGCCAAGTTTACTTGCGATTGAGAAACCATTCATTCATTTTTGCTGCTGCTTTAAGTGCCATGCAAGAAATACAACCTAAGTTGTGAATGTGGTTTATACTGTTCAGAGTATTATCAGCGGAATAAATGCCACACTTGTATTCCCAGCTTAGCAACAAAGGGGTTAAATGGCTTTTTGAAACGCTGCCATATTTTACTGGTTAAGTAATTTCAAGCAAGCATAAGTATGCCGTTTTATCTGTTGTTTTCTGCATGTCAGTGACCAAAGTGTAAAATGATGTATCTCCAATGTGATGCTTCAAAATCTCCGCTGCAATTTTATTTTGTCGAAGAGAAGTAAGCAAACTTAACAGCTTGAAAGTCACGCAGAATATTCTGCCAATAGGTTAAAATAATCAAGGAAGTTTTCAAGACATTATGTTGACTAGTTTTCTCAAATGAGAGTAAAGTAAGACAGGAAGTCTAAAACGTCGCAAATGAAGGTGCAAGGTTCCGCGCTTCAGCAACGATAAGGAGCTGTCACTATCAAATTATGCTTTACTCTGTTGGCAGAATATTCTGTTTAAATTTCAAGCTATGAAGTTGGTTTTCTTCTCTTCGAAAAATAGAATAAGAGTGGCCATCGATATGTCACTTATTGGACAGAGATCTTTAATTTCAAAGTGTAAAATATCTAATCATCTGCATTTTTTATAGGATTGAAAAATACAGACCCCAGCGATTTGAAGACATCTATGGAAACAAGGACACCATTGCAAAACTGAAGGTCTTCTCTCAAGTTGGAAATGTGCCTAATATCATCATATCTGTAAGTATTACATTCTTGATCAGAAAAAGAGAACATCATTTGGACTGCGTTTAACAGAAAGGAACCAAGCCACATCAGCTATTGCCAAATTTAACCGGGCATTTTAATTTTTTAAGAGAGAAAGCCCGTGTGGATTCCTTTGAAAATTTTAAGGAATTAGCTTCGTACTATGGAGAAAATTCACTGAAATTTGCACGAAAATCTGCACAACCGTTTTCATGCTGAAAATCAAATTGCCTAATTAAAGTTGACAACAGCTGATGTGGCTTGGTTCCTTTCTGTTTATCGCGGTTCATTTATTTCTCTAACAAAATTTCAACAGGAAAAATCCCAATTACAAGGAAGTAGAGTATACGAGAAAACGAACAAGCAAGAAAAAATAATGCTTACATTACATACAATGAAGAAAAACCTAGGAATAATATTTATTTATTTTTTTTAATTTTTCAACGAGCAAAGCTTTATACAAAGAATTTACAATAAAATATTATAATAAAAAAGTCTAATATATCGATGGCTAAAGTGTGAAATTACGTACCTCCAACATGTTTGTGACATTGCAGACCTTCTGTCCTACTTTCTTTTTTCTCGGAAAACTAGTCATGGTAGTTTGACTTTTCTTCCCTGGTAGCAGAATATTCTTATAAATCTCAAGCAGTGAAATTGGCTTGTTTGACTTAGAAAAAATAAACAGGAAGTTGAAAACATCACAATTGAGATACATGATCTTGCACAAGGGTCATTCATATCCCATTCATGAAAGGTATGCCCGAAGAACCCTCGACAAAATACCGAGAAATTCCCCACTGGCTAAAATTTATCATTTAATGAGGTGTTATGTATTCTCTACTTCCTGATCACGACGAGCTTTTACTATTGCTCCTTGTGGGTATGTGTATCGAGAAAACGAAGGCTGCATTGTGAATTTTTTGACACTCGTACTCAAGTTTTCTTGTGGAAATGTGGGGCTGTTGCTGCGTGTGTTCATAAATGCGGAATTACGAGCTGCTATCATTTGGAGGAATTTGATACTTTTGTTTGTCTTGCCTTCCTGGCCAGCACACTGAATAAAAAATGCTGCTGAATTAACACCCAGGTTGTTAAAAATTCGCCAGTTGACTCAGGAATGTCTCTCTGGCTGTTCAAGCAACATTGAATTAACATTTGAAGCGTTCACATCAACACTCTAGAGTTGTTGCACAGATTTTTACCATCCATTTCATTAGTCCAGCAACTTTTATTTCATGCAAGGAAGGAAATGCTCTCTTTAATCCCCAATCAAACTTTGCAAGATTTCTACCAAATAATGCATGGTGAAAGTGCATAAAAATCAATTTTCAGCTCTGCTTTTCTCCACATCGACACATAGTAAGTTTAATTTTATGAGCTCATCGTTCTCAAGAGGTTGTTAAGGATAATCATATCACATAATGAAGAAATTTAGCCTGTGCCAAATTCTTTGGCTACCTGTTTGTGGTCATTATTCATTTAATTATTCATTCAAAATTTTGGTTTACCGTTTACTGCTTTTTTTGTCCAGGGACCACCGGGTGTTGGAAAAACAACCACAATTCTATGTCTTGCTCAGCTTCTTCTGGGACCCTCATTTCGTGATGCTGTCTTGGAATTGAATGCCTCAAATGATAGAGGTATCGACACAGTCCGAAACAAAATCAAAATGTTTTCTCAGAGAAAAGTCACCCTTCCACCGAACCGACACAAGATAATCATCCTTGATGAAGCAGACAGGTGATTAGTCCGTTCCGATCTTATTTATAAATTTTTTAAATATTTTCAAGATTCAAATTACTCTTGAGTACTGGACACATTGTGCTCAACATGTTTTGCATATTAAAGGGCTTGGGTTCAATTCCCCAGCCTGGACACCCAAGTTTGTTGGTCCCAGGCAACCACCACCTGAGACTGGATGAAAGGAGACTAGAAGGCTAAGTGCAGCATTGGCTCCTGAGGAGGATTTGAAATTTGGTTGAAAAAAAAGAAAAATCTTTTTAGTCTAGGCTAGAACCAGGACCAAAGTTATGTTCCAGCCCATCCACCACTCAAATTGTCTGTCAAGGGAATAGCTGAATCGTCTGTCAATTGATCAGTCGCATCATCTCTCGATCAACCAATCAAAGTGCCTGTTGATAACGGGGTGCAATGTTCCGTCAATCGACCAGTTGAATCTCCTTTTAACCCACCTGTCGTATCGCCTGTCAATTGGATGTATTTCTTCCAAACGGAACTATGTGCACTATGACATGAGCCCTGTTATGCATGTATTCTTAAGGGTCTCAGGGCTCATGTCTTCATGCGCATAGTTCCGTTTGATAGAAGTACGTCCAATTGACCATTGGTATAGAGTATTTTTGATCTTTGGGATCATGTGTATATAGACCAGGTTGATCATTTTACAATTAACCATCAAATTATTTCACAATTGACAGACAATTAAACCAGTTGATCAATTGAAATAATGACCGGTCAGTCAAAGAAAAATCGGAATAATCGATTCACAACAAATTTGTTCAATCCACCAATGAATGAATATGGACTGGTTTATCGATAATAAATTTGACTGGTTGACGGACAGTCGGTTTGACCAATCAGTGCAATTGATCCTCAATCAATCATCTTGAGGAGTTCCTTCTTCGAAGCATTGTCAGAAGCATCTTAGCAGATAGATATTTCAATAAAACAGAACTTCCAGTAAGTTAGAGCAGAGGTATTTGTCTTCTAGTCTAAGATGTGTTGATCATATACGAAAAGCAGATTTATCAACCGAAAATGTACCAATTTCCCTCTCCAGCCAAAATTTGGTCAACCTGTTGAAACAAAGTCAATTCAGAATTCATATCAGAGTCCTTCTTCAACTAGTTGTAAAATGTGTTATCAACAACTGATCAAATCGCCTTTTGATCAACCAATCAAACTGCCTTTTGAAAGACCAATCATATCGTTATTCAGTAGATGGATCAAATTGCCTATCCATCAAATAAAGTTGTTAATTTCTCTCACGCAGTTTTGCTTTCCATTTTTCAGCATGACCGATGGCGCCCAGCAAGCACTTAGACGTACAATGGAGTTGTACAGTCATACAACTAGATTTGCCCTCGCTTGCAATAACAGTGAAAAAATCATCGAACCAATCCAGTCTCGGTGTGCTATGCTTAGATACAGTAAACTTACGGATGAAGAGCTACTTGCCAACATCATAGAAATTTGTAATAAAGAACAGGTAGGTATTTTTCTCAGAATAATTTTCAGTCTCCTCTCGGCTCATTGATTTTCTCATGTCAGTGGGAGCGTTCTACGTCTCTTGCATCTCTCATGATGAAGGTGTAGTATCTTGACTCTAAAAAAATTGGCGTGCTTCTAAAGTTAGCACCCTAAAATGGACCACCAGACAAGGTACAAATTTAAGCATTCTGATGCGTATTTCCTGTTCAAAGTTTCACGTTGAATACTATTCCTCTAACAAAAATTACTGAAATCATCTTCCAACCAACATATCAACGTTTTAATTTAGAACTGGTCAAAAAAAATTGGAATTTCTTGCTTACAACAAGAACCAGAGTCTATGTGAATCAAATTACGCATCACATTGGTTCTGATAGGCTTCTGAACTGAATAACATTCCTTCCTTGCCCTAAGTCGTTCAACATGTGACTAACTTGCAATAGCTGAGCCAAAGCATCTAGATTAAAGTCGCCATATTTTCGTACCTTAGATTGTCACAGTAGCAATCACTGTGCGATCTAACTCAAGAAGATTATGGTTCTTTTACGAGCAGGAAGTTTGAATTTATGAATTACATAACATTAATATCCTGGTTGGGAGTTACTTTCAACAATTTTCATTTCACAAATTGTGTGTTACGTGAAATTTTGATGGGAAAACGTTGATAATCAAATTCGCACTTTGTCTTGTGGTCCATCGCAAGTTAAAAAATACAGCATTGTTTTTCCGTTTTATGCAACAGCCAAAGAACTTTCACTCAGCCTCTGAATTTCTAATACCAGGACCACCAATTGTATTTTTCTCATAAATTTTAATTTTCACTTCGGCTTGTGTAGATTTTTTTTCTCTTAATTTTTGCAATTTTGGTAGTCATCTCTTTATCATGGTGTCTACAATCCAGAATCACCAAGATACTTCAAAGGAATGACATCTCCCAGAATTCAGCAAGGAACTAACCAGGAAATTGGTTTTACAAATCAGGAATTTCCGTTATTTCAGCTCTGATATCTTTTTAACTATTTTGGCAATCCCTGTTGATTCAGCTTCACAGAACCAAGAAAGAATTTTTAAAAAAAAATAAATTTTCCCTCTTACTACAGAGAAAAAAACAACAATTTTTGATGGGTAGCGTGAAAAAACTGTGGGATACATCTTAAAAATTCCTCAAAAAGTAAGGTAATGAGAAAATCCAATAATTCTAAACACCGTGGGTCTAATAATTTTTAAATACTGCATGTTGTGCAATTTCTAACTGTCCTTTTTTTCCAGGTATCTTACACTAACGATGGTTTAGAGGCGATTGTTTTCACAAGTCAAGGTGACATGAGACAAGCATTGAACAATCTACAGTCCACCGTTAATGGCTTTGGTCATGTGAATCGAGAAAACGTTTTCAAAGTTTGTGACGAGCCACACCCACTCCTAGTCTCTGACATGTTATTATCTTGCACCTCAGGAAATATTTCAAAGGCTTATGAGGTATGTGGTCTTCGGGTGGTGGTCTTTTTTACTAATTTTCATGATTTCAATAGTTAACTATTATGATTTCAAATCTGTGCAGTGAAAAATGGGCAGTTATCAGGTTCTACAACTTTTCAACTTAAGATTATGATTGGATGCTTTTACGCTGAATGAAACTGTGTACAAATGAATCAAAGCAAAAAGATTTACATGTGTACATACGAACTACAATTTTTTATAGTTTCTCATGATTGCATTCATCTATACGTGGTTATTTTTAGCATAAATACTGCAACGGAGTAATTGGGTTTTCATAAAACTTGACTTACCTTCATTTTCAAGGACTTCATTAGATGCTCATTTTGCAGGGAATTTTACACGACTGGAAAACCAGGAATTTTCAGGGAATTTCATCAGGTCAGGGAAAGCAGGGAAAATTTAAAGAATTTGATCAGAAAGACTGGAAGGAAATTTTAAAAGTCTTGAAATTTGAAATCTAGAAAAGTATCAGTGTTGTCTACTTAATAAGAAAATAAGACCTTCACAAGTCTGGTTCGAAATCCAATGCTCTAAGTCTTACACTAAATTTTGAATCAAAATAAATACTTTTCAAGCAGAATTTGGGATTCTACTAAATTCAACGATTAATTCTTGAAAAAAAAAAGGTTCGCATGTTTCTGTACTTTAAAGTGATTTCAGTCAAAAAAATTTTGTATTATGTTCGAATTTTTATATTGTTTGTTAGGGAAAAACCTAGGAAAGTCCTCATTGGTTTTCTCCTTTGTTTTTTTTTAAAAAAAAAAAAAAAAAAAAAAAAAAAAAAAAAAAATCAGATAAATTATTCTCTCTTGAGTACAAAATTGTATTTTTGTTGGCCTATTTAATGGATTTCCAGTTGTCTAAATTGAGGAGCGGGTGTGCAACATTTTCCCTGCATCGTCTTTTTTTAATAATTATTTTTTATTTTATTAGCTTTGTTCGATTTCCTCCCACTTTATGACCTTTCCTTTTTCAGATCATGCTTCATTTATGGAATCTTGGCTATGCGTCCGAAGATATTATTGGCAACATTTCCAGGGTCACCAAAAATCTAGATATTTCTGAGCCATTGAAACTAGAATTCATTAAGGTAACTTTCTCAGCTTAAGCTTTGAGGTCTTGTTCTTAAGTCTAATCAAAGGATGAAAATCAGAATCTGGAATTTTTTAACTAAAGCAGGATGTTTTTTCTTCGTCTATTCTTTTCTCTTAGAATGCAATTTTTAATGAAGGAATTAAATATCTACCCTCACATTAGTCGTCTGAACACCCCTGCAACAATCAAACCACTTAATATTTAAATTGTCTCAACACTGCATGTAAAAAGGAACAACATTTTTTCTGTTCTTGTATTTTACTCATCTATTATATTGGGCATCCACTCATCCACCTCTAAGTGTCACATCATCATTAATTTTGAATATGAAAAAATGGCAATCGGACACACGTTTAATTTTTTTTGCGACTCTGTTAGGTTCAGAAATCACAACTATCATCTATCACACATGCATCTGACCTTGTGGCAATTTTCACAAGTTGGTAGCAGTGGATGTCATCCATTAAAAAGCATAATGAATATTTACCAAGGTTGGCCTCATCCTCTTGAATCGATTGTTTAATTGGACTGCATTTTGCAATTTGGAACTATAAATTCTAGCCCGGTTTAAAAACATCGTATGTGCCATTAGTTTCCCTATGCACATACGTGTTTTTTCAGATGAGCCATAATTTATAGGTCCAAATTGCAAAATGCAGTCCAATTTAGATTTGAATGGAGGAAAAACAGTGTTACCAAATTGCAAGAATCACCATTGATCTAACTTATTACATAGATTCATACAATATTTTTTTTTGAGAGAGGCAGGTATCTCCGATAATTTTTTTCATCGAATGTTGAGTGACTAATTTGAAAATATCATCTATTCCTCCCTCTCTGCAGCTCTGGGTAGAATTTTCCAGAAAACCAATTTTTTTCTAAAGATTTTCCACAGAAAATTCATTTTTTTAGAAAACTGATGCATGTTAGCCGAAAAGGGGTGTAATATTTACATCCAGTAGCCCAAAATACACCAGATAATATATTTGGCACTGTATATGTATAAAGGCACTGCAAAAGTACTGCATTTTTCCGCCGATGAGTTATGGATTTTTTTTAGGAAAGTACTGAAGAAGTACTGTAAAACTACTAATTTTTCACCAGCCAGTTTTAGTAGACACTTTGTAGTAACCAAAATGAGCTCAAAGTTGATTTAATCTTCAGCTCCCACCGGAAAAAAAAGCTGATGATAAAAAGCACAATGACTATTAACCTGGCTGCGCTAATCATAGAGTGTACCTTGCCTTTCAAAATGTTATTCATTCTGATGGGGAGACGCGAAAAAAAAGTTTTTTGCAGGCTAAGATTTTAGCTTTTGCATTCATTGCAATTCATTTGCTATTTTTTCTTAATTTTTCAGGAAATTGGATTGACTCACTTACGAATAGTGGAGGGTCTCGGTACATTCATTCAGCTTACTGGTCTCTTGGCTAAATTGTGTGAGCGCTCACTTAGCTTCCTCGAAGAATGAGAATGGTCATCAATTGATGTCCAATCAATGATAATCTTTTCCCCTGAGTATGTACATATTATTGAATTTTAGCTATTATGTATTGTGATTCCTATGAATTTTGAAACATTGAATACTATGCCAGCCCTCAACACAAGGTGTTCCATAGTCAATACTACCTCATAGTAAACAGATTTTTCTGTACGTCAATTTATCTCAGAAATAATTAAAGAGCTTACTGGACAGGGTAACCACGGTCAGGATTTATCAAGAAAACTGAACTATGACAGGGAATTTTAAAAAGTTTGAAAAAACCTGGAAATGTCAGGGGAAAAATCATTAGTTTACCTTTATTCGCTTTCCAGAATAGGTTTGACATTTTGAACAAGTTTTGCCTGGAAACTATTTCAAAGTATGTATTTTCAACCATCTTGCATATGTTCAATTGTCCATTTTAGTTAATTAAATGATTAAAACCTAAGAAACAAAGGCTCAGGCTCACATGTTTCTATCATTCACAGTGGAATACTGAAATGCCAAAAATAATTTATCATCAATTCTATGTAGGCATATTGTCAATGTGAATAGTTACTAAATTTTTTTAGGGAACAAAATAATTAAAAACCTCTTTCATAGAAACGATTCATAGAATCTAAATGTATTTTCATCGCTTTTTTTATCCAAAAAATATAACTTTATACAAAAATACAAAACTCCAATTAAAAGCTAAAATCATAAAAATGCGTAATCATTCTTAGTCCAACCCCTGGATCTTCATATTTGTTGGCCCTCTACACCCTAGTTGAGTAGAACTGTGCCAATCTGCTAATCTGTGGCAATTTTTTCTCCAAGAATCGGTTTCTCTAATTCTGTATAATTATGTATTTGGTGTCACAATTTTGGGGGTATCTCTAACTTTTAGTCTAAAGTGTGATCGCTCAGTTTTGTGAAGACAGAGTTGATGTAGAAAGTTCTCAAGAGCAAAAATCAGTTGCTACTTTGGTCTTTTGATTTCCTCAATGCGCAATTACTGGAAACGTGCGATGAGGATAGGAAGTTTCTATGGAAAAATTTCCTCTTGAGCTCATGACTTTTTCTCATTCTACGCGCATGTGCCTGATGTGCTGGAGTATTTCCTGCATCCCTGTTTGACAGTAATCATTTGTTATTGTTTTCAAAATCTTGAAAACGTCGCTCAACGACCTCATTGATCTGTAATCTCAGCCAACTGTTTCTGCATTTCCTGCATTGTTGCCACCTAGTTTCAACAGTTTATTTTAGAAGCGCACCTTAACCAGACAATGACCTCATTATGCTTGTAATATGAAATATTGGTCTGACTGAGGATTTGTGCAACTGCACAAATGCAGTGAAGGCGCATTTATGCGGCCTGCCAGACTATTTGTAGAGCTTCACAAGATGGCTGCAATCAGCAAAAAATAGCTGTGTGCAACGATTTGCGGAAACAGTTACATGTTTGTTGAAAGGCTTGACAAAACTTCTAAATGTTCCTTAATTAAGTTTGTTTTCTCAAAGATTTGCAAGCAGTATGATTTGTTAAAAACATAGAAAATACACCAAAAATACAACTGCTTTTATCAGAATATTTGAAAACTTTGCAGAAATATCTGTCGCAATAATATCAAGATTTTGTAATCATCTTGACTAGATAGATATGTAGCAGTTCAGGACTTTTTTCTCTTTTTTTCATTCAAATTTTTAAACAAAAACTAACAGCGGTAGTGTGTCATGAAGTAAAATTTCACTAATTTGGTGACATGTACGAAAACAGGAACACTTTATCACAATTATTTTGTCTTCCAGAGGCAAACTCAATTATCTGCAACATGCATCCTATTGTCTTGACCGTGGCCGTTCATGTGTTTTTCATCTCTGCTTTCGTCCTCTTCAGATTTCCTGTATTGATAACTGAGAGACATCCATACGAATATCAGCATATCAAGAACCATCAGGACTGTGTACAATAGAAACTCGTAAACCTGAAAGCAAGTTAATTTTTACTTGAAAGGATAAAGTCAGATTTCTGTGGCGGGTAGGCGTTGCAGAGCGCCCTAGCGGGCCGTACTAGCAACTTGTACATACAGGATAAAGTCATAATTCAGAATCAATAAATGGGTTATCAGAAGTACAAACATGAGCCTTCTAGTGTGGGTTACCTATTGAAAGTTCCACTCAGAATATGATTCGTGCAACGGAAAATACTAAAATTAACTCCCAAACAAAATGTTGATGTTTCCATGTAGCTTTAGTCAGGAAAAAATTGTATTTCCTGCTAACAAAAAAAAAAAAAAACCTGAGTCTACTCGAATCATATTGCGCACTCCAACGGTTTGAGTAGGCTTTTTAATCAAGCAGTATTCCATCCTCACTCCATGTTGTCACTTAAAGTGTTTACAACATGCAATGGTTGAGCCAAAGCGCCAAGATTGAAGTTATCATACTTTTAAACTACGGGAAGAGACTATTATTATAGCATTTACTGTGAAATTTAATTCAAACAGATTATGTTTATCTATGTGAGGGAAGTTTTAACCTATTTATAAAAAAACAATAATATCTTTGTTAAGTCACTATCAGCAATTTATGTCGTACAATTCGTCCGAAGGAAAATTTTGATGAGAAAGCATGTATTGTAATGCTCAATTCTGCACCTTGTCCAGCTGTTCATTGTAACCAGTAGTGTCATTTGTTTTTCCTTTTTTAAAAAAGATGAGGTCAAAAAGCATATTTGCAATGCCAAAATAGGATTCATTCTGTCAAAATTTAGTCATCGCTTTGTGATTAGTAAGCTTCAAAGTAGGTAATAGCAATGGTCATACTTACTCTCCTATCGAAAAATTTAGCTTCAGAAATGATGACAACAAAAACATTCCCGAATGCAACAGTCAAAAGCCAAACAGATGATATCAAAGACTTCATACTTTTTGGTGCCTGTGAATAAAAATTAGGAAAAATAAATTCAAAAACACATAATTGAGGAATAAAAAGTAAACTCTACTAGAAGAATATTCGATAAACGTTTCAAGGCCATGATGCCCGTCTGCTCTCATTTTAAACATTGCAGACATTCGCAGTCATTGCAAACATTTTGTGACGCAGCAACTGAGATTTACATTTTTCTAGTTTCACTGTTGTATTTGAGAATCACTTTGTGATTTTGTTCTACACGAAATAAGGTCAACTTAGTCTGTCTCATGATTTTTGGAATGGAGACACATGATTGAAGAATTTAAGAGTCCAAAGTTTTATGAATTTGTGCATCTTGTAGTTAAAAAAAACAGATGTATTTACAGCAGTAGGAAAGATAGAAAGTTAGCCTGTGTTAGACTCAGTAAAGTACAAATTGAATATGCGTTCAGCTCTCATTAAAATTCTAGCTTGGGAGCTCAAATTTTCAGAGGAAGTTAAAATTTTCCCGGATTATCTTTTGTCTTTGCCCATTAATTTACAAAATTTGACTTTTTCATTTTATGAAACTGTTTGCTTTTCATCAAATGCTGTAACACTGTGATAACAACTAAACAAACCTGCGAATAGGAGAATTCTAAGCCTGTTATTGAGAAGAGAATTTCAGAAGCTGTAATAATAATGATTTGAGGAAGTAACCATGCCATATGTAGTGTTGCAGGTCGAGTTAATGTGTTTATTTGAGTGCTCTGTAACAAGAATTTGCCACAATAGAAAACAAGTTAATCGCCATCATCATCAACAGATTAAAATTACGTAGGTCATGGATAAAATCGGTGTGCTGAAATTTCCTAAACGCCAGCTACTTGTCTTGTCTGCCACCTACAACCTGTAGTCAAATGAAGAAGTTGCCGTAAATGCCCAAAGGACTCTGCATACTCCTTATGAGAAAGTGCACCATAATCGATTTTTAATTTTTTTTTATTGCATTTAAATTCATCACAAGGTGCTGATCAAAAGTCATCATTGCGCCAACTTTCTACAACGCACGGTTTTCGCACAATACGCCAGGAACGTTTCAATTAATCGGCAATAAAGAGTCAGAAAGATTCCTCATTTTAGCACTCAAGTGAACGGTCAGTGGTGTGTCAACAAGGAAATCAGGGAGTTTCAGCACCGAGCGGCAGTCTTATCTCAGATTTTGCATGCCTTTTTGCTTGACCATCCAAATCAGATTCGTGAGGAGCATGAGATCAGGAAAGTCGGAGAAAAACAGTGAACGTCTAACATACGAGAGCGGGAGGGAGATAGCCCCAGAGTAAGCAGGAATAGATAAGAAGATAGACAACTGCTATGTTTTTTCTTATTCACATCAGACCTGTTCTCAAATGCCTTATTCTTTTTAACTCTTTATCGCCGAATAATTAAAACAGTGCATCGTAGAAAGTTAGCGCAATGATCACTTTTTATCAGCATCTTGAAATGAATTGAATGTGTCAGAAAAATGAAAAATCGATTGTGATGCACTTTCCCTTAAAGAGTGCGCAGGGTCCTTTTCTCACAATTTCCCATCATTCTGTGCATTTTCACAGAGATCTTGCAGGTTTCTCAAATGGAAACTATCATCATTTTTTTTAAATTCCGCAAAACACAAGCTATGCTGCATGTTTTATTTTTAATTCTTATAATTTGTCAATCAAATACAATGTCATTTTAAATCTCTTTGATCTAAATCACTCTAACATCATGGAATTTTTCCTCTACAAATTCCTGTCGACCTCCTCTAGTATTCGATCTCTGATGGTCTCATTAGCATATTCTAAGTCCGTTTCTTCATCTACTAAACCTCTGGTCAATACACTAATATACTTTTCATTACCATGTTGCAAAGTCTCCTCTTGTTCTCTTTCGAAATTTGATAATCCTAGAGACCTCATTTAACATTGAGCCTTAGGGTATCAATGGAAAGAATTTCAATAATTAGTTAGCAAGACTTCCATATCTGTAAACACACCTTGACTTCCCGCAGTCCCTGATGATTTGCTTACTTAATTACTCACTAGAACAAGCATATCTTATTTTTATCTCCCGTGTTCGCAGATTCCCTATCTGTATAAAGAGATCTCATAAAAAATGTAGATTCTATCTTGAGCTCGCAGAACATATTTAAAATGAGAAATGGTTTTGAAAACTTACCACTTTTTCGCCATCTTTTTGAATAAGCAAATAGTATACACCTCCTGATTTAACTTCAATCGGTGGCTGAACAGTAAGACCATTTACAGTGACCAAGTATCTAGAAGAAAAAAGGTCATGAAAGGATTCGTTATTAGTCTAATATCTTATAATTTACGTAGTTTCCTTCAAAAATTTAATCAAACTGCACCTCTGCTAAAAACATAATTCCCTTCTGGATCAAAATGAATAGTAAGGTAATGTCTCAAATTGAATGATAATAATTAAATTCATAATTAAATGATAATAATTATAAAGTCTAGCAAAATAGTCACTTTTATATTGCAGTGTTCCAAAATCTCATCTCCCATTTAAATTTTTTGAAGGAAACCAACGTAAGTTTTTGTTAAAAATTTTCTGGAAATAACCGTCATATAGGCCCCAAAAATTTCAACAATTTGGAAACAACATTTCTTTTTTTCAGTGGGGATGTTGGCTGGTTTCCTTCCCAAAAATTATGATTTGATTTGAGATTTAAACTTAGCAATGTAAGTAGATGTAGCAGTTTTGCTTAACTCTATCAAAACGACATGGACTGGCTCAAAAGCTTAATTTTTTTAAGTCCTGGTGATACAAAGAAGGGTTATAGGTGCTTGATGATGGGAACTTGAATAAAGAAGAGGCGCTAGATGACACATCTTGGGCTTTCATTACTTGCATTCTTCCTGCGAAGACAATAATACTTCACATCATCAAAAATTGTCGTCATAATTTTAATTATTTAGACCATCCTCTCATCAGACCGTTGTGCAGTCGATTCATTGGTTGAACCATAAGTTATTATTCACTCATTTTTCATGTAGTTTATGCAAATTTTATTGAAATTAAATTGATTGAAGATGAAGAAGCCTCAATAAAAGTATTTTCAGAATTTTAGAATACATTTGTAAAGTTCTTACTTTCCAGGGTCCACCTCGGATGTATCCGTTGACAATTGCTTAGAACTTAGTTCAAATGAAAATGAACCTGTATTTTCATTCATAAGGCTTACTTTCCCGCTAAGTGCTCCACTGTTCAGTAATCTGAAAGAAAACAACCCGAACATGTCATTGCATTCCACCAAAATGCAGAATATTCAAATTTCTTAGGTGTAATATTAACAGTAAGCACTAAAACTTGCTATCACCGTAAAAAAAAGGTAAGGATAGAAAATCGATCCCCACTAGTTTGTGTGCTTCAATACATCAGTCAATACTGAGTGAAAATTTCACCCAACGAAGCATGAAAATTATATTATTTTGGGATAGCGACTAATGAATCACTAGACTAGGTACAAACTTCAGTATTCTGTTTCAAGTTTTTCTTTCAAAATATTCACGTAGAAACCTACTAGAAGTAATACTGCAGGGAAAATTACTAAAATTAACTCCAAACCAAGGTACTCACGTTTTTATTTAGCACAGGTTACAAACAATTTAAATTTCTCACCCACAAGAAAAACGTAAGTCCATGTGAATCAAATCCTGTACCACAAAGGTTTCAGCAAGCTTTTGAATGAGTAGTGTTCTTCCCTTGTCCCATGTTGTTCAGTGTGTCAACAATGTGCAACAGCCGAGCTGAAGCATCAAGATTGAGGTTGCCATGTTTTCATTCAATGAAGACTGTTACAATAACCCTCAATGTGCCATTTTACTCATTCGTAGATTAAGGTTTTTTTATGAGCAGAACGCTTGAATCGATGTATTGATAAACGTAATATCTCCGCTCAGAGTCAGGTACTGACAATAATTTTTGTCGCATAAATAATGACGAGAAACTCAGATGAGAAAACGTGTGTCACAATGCTGAAATTTTTACCTGGTCTAGTGGTCTATTATTTTGATTTTTGAATGCCATACTGAACGCCTGTTTTATTTTCTTTAAAGAAAAAATCAAGCGTTTTACGAATAAAATTGACTCTTTAAGATCTTCTATTACAATATTACTGTTCATTTATGCCTGGCGTATTCTTTTTTTTATCCCGAATAACTTATGACAAATATTGTTTATATCATACTTACGTTAATTTAGGTTTCCCATTCTCTGATTTTTCAAGATCATCGTACTGTTTCAGCCGTTGTAGTGTTAATGTTTGGGGTACAATGGATTGAAAAATGTAGGTTACACTCTGAAAAATAGGAAATGGAAATGAGGGAAAGGAAGTGTATGTTATACTCTGAAAAAAGGAAAATCAAATTGTAATCTTCCTCTAAGGTGCTTTTTTTTTTTTTTTTTTTTTTTACACCTACTACCTAATGACAAGTGTTTTCAGTCCTTTAAAATATACCAGTATCAACTGAAGCATGCATCTGCTTAATATCAGCAGAAAATATAAAATAAGCCTGGAAAACACTTAACTACTGCATCTACATGACGATACCTAGGTATGTATTTGTGACTGGATCTGTGAAAAGGGACCTTATTGTCAGGATGAAAATTTCCTCAATTTTTTTCAAAAATTTTAACCGCGTTTTCTACAACTAGAAAATTTTTATCTTGGAACTTCAGGACTCATAAAACCATCAACTTTCGGGGATCCAGGGTCCAACGTATGCCAATATTTTCAGATTTTTTCCTTCCGTGCATTTGAAAAAAGTTAAGGAAAATTTTCTCCCAGATGATAATTAAGTCCCTTTTCATAAATCCAGTCGCAGCTGTTTTAAAATTATTACATTCTTTTCACAAGATTAAAATTTTCATCCGAGCTGAAAATAAAGAAACGACAAATATATGTGTTTCCAGGCCTTTTAGTCACTTCATTAGAATGTTACCACTGTATATTGCTGTGCAGAGGGAATAACGCTGTAAGAACATTCGAATGTTACCGAATTCTCTCCAATAAAATGAAAATATGAGGGGCTTGGAAGACAGGGTACGTAAGTGCAGTTTTTGGAAAAATTGAGATATTAATGATTTTAAGTAAAACAAGCGTTATTGCATAGGTATTCTGTGAAAACTTCGCTCCCAAATTCCAATTGATAAGCATCCAAAAGTCCGTTTGAACTTTCTTTCCACCATGAGAATCCATATAATTTCGAAATTTCTAACACGTATTTCTCAAAATAGCTAAAACATCACTTATCGACGGTGAAACTACCAAACCACGTATCTCGTTTGCGGTGTTTAAAAATCTACGCTCACATTTTATTTTTTTGAAGTAGACCAAATCAATATCATTCCTCGAAATTTTCACAGAATTTTCTTCGCACGAAGAGGAAAAATCGCAGAAATTTTCTAGACTGGACGTTAAGTAGTTTTTCATTTAAAAAATAAAGTATGACAGGAAGTCTGCGATGTCGCAAACCGAGATACGTGGTTTGGTAGTTTCACTGTCGTTATGTGCCTTGTCCTCTAAGCCCCTCACATATGAATAATATAATGAATGAAATTTTCAGATACTTCAGGATTAATTGCAATATCTATTAATTTTCTCCACAAGTTTTTATCGAAGGAAATTTGGCAAAGCCTAAAGATTTACATGGCGTTGTTCCTTAGTACGGCACAATACCACTGCAAAGTGTAAGCTGCACTAATTGTAAATCGAAGTTTTCAGATTTCCCAATTTTAGGCCTAAAATTAGTTTACATGACGAATTTTTGAATTTTCAAAAGTAACCTCTATGTCACTTATCGTGATTGAAACCAATTTCTATTCGCTAATCAAAGCTAAAAATTTGTCGGCAATGAATTTCCATGCCCTTGACCTGTATGTGGTATGGTAGCAGAGGCGCTCAGGGTTCTTTTTGCAAAGTTGATAAATTCGACCTGAGTTCTCAGCTTGATCGAACAGGATTTAGAATAGTAAATCCTCAGAACATATTCTTAGCTAAAATAAAGGTCACTCTTACCTGATGCTGCTGCAAGATGAGATTTCCTTTCCAAGGTCCGTAACTGTCTTTTTTGATGTTACATTGAAGTGAATCATAGTTGAATCGGATAGTAGTGGAGATTTGTGCTGTATTGTTCACTGGGACGTTGATCAATTCTAGCGCACTGTAAGGATCAATTTTCGAGTTACCGAGTATGGGGGGCTCCATTATCATTTCACAATCGTAGCTGTTCAGCACTCTTAAATGACCAGTTGTGTCCGTTGGCATAATAGGATACGATGGCTGGAAAAAAGTACATTTTTGTGCAGTTCACTCTCATGAAAATCAAGAAATACTCCTAATTTTTTATTATAAAATGGATATGCGCTGTTGAAGGAATATGTTTGATTTGTAATGATACTTTTACAGGTATTATTCCTGAGACACACAAGAAAAGCAGACACCTGACAACAGTTCCCATTTTTTATCTGATTTTTGTCTCTCATACGTACCGTTATGACTCCATTATTATTCATTAAATTTATAAAAAAAATCCTCTTGCAGGTGAGTATCTTACCTCTAGTTTATATTCAACAATAGCAGATATCAGAAATGCCACTGCTGTAAGAAATCCACCCAATCCAATTTTTTGCAGCGGTCGCTTGATGCCCACATTCTGGAGCACGGGGTAAACAACTGTTTCGAATAATGGAATAAAGATCAGAATAAGCATAGGATTTAAAATCTGCATTTGATCAGGTTTAATAGTCCACCAAGGGGTCACCGTACCATCCATCAAAGTAGCCTGAAAAGTCCATCTTGATCCCTGTCAAAAGAAGGAAAATATACAGTTTTTGAAGCGCCCATGTACTTAGGTCAAGACACCCAGTGCTCTACTTAAAAGTGGAATAAAAAAGCAATGATAATGTCTCGTTGACGGCATTTTTTAGAAGGAGGTAAAATATTGCGTATTTGAAGGTTTTTTTCGCTAAGTGCGCACCATTTTTTACTGAGTGTAAAACCTTTAGGTAGTTAGAAATACCTACGCGCGCAACTTTTTCCGCGCGTTGCGATTTCAAACGGTGCGAATGAATTTCAAAATTGGCGCGTAAAGCTTTTTCCATGATTGGCCAGGTCCATTTATCACGTGATTTTTTGGCGCGATTGGCGTGACCTTGGTAAAAATATGTAAACAAGAAGCACTTGATTTCTTGGTAAAGTCTGATTGATTACATCTAGATTTCACGACAACCGATTCCTGAGCGATTCTTTAATAAATTCTGAACATTTTAATACAAGTGATCTGATTAGAAATCGACAGTTTTTGATTCGCACAGGAGTAAACCTGCGTTTCGCGGCGTGGAACTGGCGTGAGTGAATTTGGATCTGCTGATTCTTCAGAACATGTGCTTCTGCTTCGTCGTCTTTTGGTGAGTCATTTACTCAAATCACAGTATTTGTTTATGCATAGAACTTTATTCAAGCATTTATCAATGTATTTTTCATTCTCATTCTCTTCATAAGTGATTTTTGATTAAGCCATTGTATCCGAGGGAGCATGGAACACCCACTCTCATTCCGTTCATTCGGGCAGCTCTGTGCATGCTCACTTTTGTCGTGCAGAGTTAGTTTGTCCTCGCTTGGTCCAATGATGTTTACGACAACCATGAGTAATTGAACTTTATTATAAATTAGCAGTGCTGTAACGTATGTGTACGGGTCCACAAGATAAGTCTGAGTGTGCCTTTATGTTACATGATCCGCAAGGTGCATTCCACGAGGCACTGCATAGTTTTCATGTACAAATCAGTGTTTCGGCGAGAGCCAGTGAAATGTTACGCAGATTCATAGATGAACTTTCAGTCATTCATCCATCTCTCCAAGCTACAGAGTCATTTCAATTTAGCATCAAAATTATCTCTCCAAACAATGACTGGCACACCCATCACTAGGGATTATCTTACTGGGCCTGCTAATATGTAGGATGATATTTGACCTCGCCGTCTATCCTTCACATAACCAAGAAATAATTCCAATTAGCTGGTTTCATCATTGTTGGACGGATATTCCTTGTTATGTTTTTAGTTCCAGACTGCCTCTAATGGCTCCTGTGAATCCAGCAGAACTTCAGAATCCGACTCCTCCTGAGTTTCAATCGCGAAACTTATGTGAAGGTTGGTCAAATTGCATTTTTCACTGCAGGAGTCGGATTCGGAAGTTTCGCCGGGAATCCACCTGTAAGCCAACAGTCTTGTTTTCACCCATCTATGGTATCTCACAATGAGACAGTTTTGAATTTGTTAGGCATTATGAGTGAGGATTTTTATGATTTTGAGGAAATGTATTTCAAGTTGTGCCAATGATCAAGAGTTCACGATACGGTGTGGAAAGCTGTTGTGAGAGAAGTGTAGTTGTCCTGACCAGTTGGTAAATTACACAGAGACTTTTGTCCTAAATGAAGTCCACTTTCTAATGAGGGAATTAATTGGGCTTCATTGTTGGCGCCTTATTGGCTATGCTGTACCAAGTGTGCCATAGTTGTCACTACATGACTTTACTGCTCAGGCAAATTCTAATATTGATGCCTTCAAAAAAGAGCTCTTGTGCTTAGTTTTCCCACCATGTATGGTATGAAGCAGGTGTTGATTTAAAAGGTTGATACCACAATAGCTTTAGCTTGGCATTATTAGCAATCATTTTGTTGAGGCACTGAATTAAATGGCCACCATTAAAGAAAATAATATTTGGTATGGGGCCGTCCATCAATTACGTCAGGTTCTCAGGGGAGGGGGGTCTCTAACCGCCTCATGGTGCCTTATGAGGGGAGGGAGAGGTAGGGCTAAGCCTTACGTAAGCTTTCCAGCCTATACCTACCTAAAGAAAATGCAAAAATCTATTTTTCGTCAGGTTGATAATAAAATTCAAGATGAAATAGAGGAAATCAGCACATCACCGTTTGCTGACCAATCGGACCATGCTCCTGTCATTTCTCTTGATTCCCACTTCTCCACTCTGTGGGCTAATGAGTAGTGACTTCATCCTTTTGTCAACTTCATACTTTTATCCTTTCCAACTATAAAAAAAAAATTTACCCTTGCAAATGGCATTTTTACAAGGAGAATTTTGAGCAATCCTCACCAACATTTTCTCCGATTTTTTCTCTGATCTCACGCAAAAATCTGAAAAATTTTGGACCAAAGTTGTACGAGTACTGATTACATTCAATGCAAAAAATTGAGTTGTTTCAATCAATGTTGTAACCATGGAAGGAAAATTTTCTGAGTTTCAAACCCAACATAAACGTCAAAAAACCTACCTGTTGATCAAAAAGGGCCCAAAAGAAAGGCAGGGGTAACAGTAAGTATAGGATTTTGAAAAGAGCCTTGATATCTCCTATTAACTTGGCCTCAAATTTGTCATCAGCGTGATCCAACCAATGATCTTTAGACCCGCTTGCTTTGCCACAAAATTTATTCCGCAGTGCGTACTGGAAAAAAAAGAAAAAATAGTGGAGAAAAGAAAAATAGTAGTACTCATGAACAGTATATCACTCCTCCCAATCATAGTACCTATTAACTTTTAATTATTTGTACAATGGAGATGTTGCATGTGTGAGGGATTTGCGATTTGACCATTGATTCTTAGGTCAAAGTTCGCGAGAAACACGATGGTGCCACTGGTTTTCTCTAATATCATCTCCCAAGCTCAAAAAAAGCTCTCAAAGTGAGGCCAAAATGGAGGGGATATCCCACCCTACCCTGAGAGTCCACCTCTACATCAAGACAAACTCTCCATGCAAAGATAAGGAGCAAATACATTAGCAGGGTTGCCGTGTTTTTAGTTTTGGAGTCCCCAATTAAAGTGGCATCCCTGCTAATGTATATACTCCCTATCTTTGCATGGAGGCTCATTTTGATGTAGAGGTGGACTCTCAGGGTAGGGTGGGATACCCCCTCCATTTTGGCTTCACTTTGAGAGCTTTTTTTGAGCTCGGGAGATGATTTCAGAGAAAACCAGTGGCACCATCGTGTTTCTCGCAAACTTTTGCATAAGAATCAATGGTCAAATCGCAAATCCCTCACATATGCAACATCTCCATTACACTTACATCGTAAGTAATTTCTTTTATTTAGAGGTAAGTACAGAAAATATGCATGGTCGCGTGGCCTCCCGCTTGAAAAAATGGGAATGCTCTGAAAATAGGAAAGGCACCCACCGCTAATACCTCACGCTGTAGAATCAAAATTGCATGTATTTTCGAAAATGATGATGATATTCGCGTGCTTTTCGCCAAATTGCAAATTCTTGTCTAACAGGGATGCAGAAAGTTCTTAGCCTTCCCATTTTTCAAATCAGCCTTCCCTTTTTGAAAACCCTTTTATCGTCAGAATTTCTAAAATCATTTTCATGGCTCTGTAGGTGCTTACAAATTGGCGTGAGTTTGCACCCAAAAAAGAGAAAAAGGGAAAGAAAAAAATACGCGATTTTTACCGCAATGTTGCGAAAAACTTTGCAAACAAGAAGAAATAAAGCGATTTTTCCGGCATATTCTAGTTTGAAAATCCTTTTTCGGGAACTTCCTTTTTTCTCACGTGACCGAGAAGTTTTTGCACCCCTATTACCTTTAATTCATTTTCCCTAGTTCTAGCCTATTTTTTGAATTTTCAAAATTTGGGCTGGGGGCGGGCGAGAACGTTTCCGCTCGTTAATTCGATTAACAGTATCTTGAAATTTTCACTTACCGACACGCATTTGAACACGTGAACAATGATGTTACCCTCTGGATCTTTCGTCGTGTAAAATGGTTTTCCCGCAACGAATATGCCTGTCAGTAGAAAGAACAAATACAATCAATTATCCATGTTATCATATACATATTAAGCATCACTGAATTCTTGATAGAGCTATAATTTTTAACCCTTTTTTGGCGTGTAATTCACAATCGCTCGGTAATCACTCGTGCTACTTCTGAAGTGAAGCGTATACAGATTAAAGAGGGTACGCTTCTTGGATCATATATAAAATATTTCTGAAATTTTCTGAAATATTTCTATAGGTAGAAAAATCATGAAATCGACCCGCCCGAGTTATTTGTAACAAATCTTGCAGTTTTATCTAAAATTGGAAAAACTGAGCTCCTCAACTGATACGGTAGACAGGGCCCAGAAACGCTTGAATGTGCAACTATAATATCGCTCTGTTGTTGTTAGTGTTGCTTACCAACACAATTGAAGGCGCTTTGATAGCGGTGCTGTACATTGTCGACATCAACATTCCGTAAATGTTATCCTTGAAAACTAGGGCACCCAACTAAACGGCTGTTCCGGTAGAGCTCTTGCATACCACGCAGATTTGTGATTTAAGTACGCTATCCTGTTGCGCACAGTAGCGCCACAGGTGTTCTCTGAAATGAACTCCTAGGCTCATAAAAAGCTCTCAAAGTTGAGGCCGTAATGGAAGGAATATCCCACGGTATCTTGATAGTCCACCTCGATATCTAATCAAAATCTCCATGCAAAGATAGGGAGAAACTGTATTAGCAGGACTGCCGTGTTTTCAATTTTAAAGTCCCCAATCAGGGCAGGGTGTCTACAAGTCCGGAATTTCCGGAAAGCCCGGAAATAGTACTGAAAAAGTGCGGAAATTCCGCAAGAAAGTCCGGAATTTTTTTCATCTCTGATCATTTTTGTCGCAACTAGAGCGAGATATTCAAATTTTTGAAATTTTCCAAATTTCATTAATTGGTGGGTACTGAAAAAGTACTGAATTTTTCTGTTGAGGAGGTACTGAATTTCTCGGGAATGTACCGAAAAAGTACGGTAAAAGTACTGATTTTCGGCCAGCCTGTTTTGGTTGACACCCTGCCAATCAAAGTGGCAACCCTGCTAATGTATTTGCTCCTTATCTTAGCATGGAAAGTTGGACTCTCAGGATAGCTTGGGACATCTCCTCCATTACGACCTTAACTTTGAGAGTTTTTTTTAAGCTTTGGAGTTTGTTTTAGAGAAATTCAGGGTGTTGACTGTACGGGAAAAGTACGGATACACTGCTAAAAAACGGATTTCGGAAGGTTGGTACGGAAGTACGGCAAAGGTACGGATTTTCCGCGTAAAGGTACGGAAAATAGGGATTTCCGTGATAAACTCTGAAAAGTAGCCTTGTGGGTATGTAATTTCCCAATCCCAATACAATCCGTTCATCAAGTTCCAGGTTCGATTCTTCGTGTTTTCCGGTTTACTCCTTTATCATTTTACCATTCCAATCTCCCAATCCAAATACAGTTAAAAATGCGTGTGAGGCAAGGGAAAGGTTAGGAAAAAGCAAGGATTTTTTAGAATCGCCATGTAAAGGAATTTTCGGGAAAGCAAGGAAAACTTACGGAAAAAGCAGAGAATTTTAATGGCAGGGTACCAGTAGACACCCCGAGAAAACCAGTGGCGCAATCTTGTTTCTCGCGAAATTTCGTAGAGGAATCCGTACAGTATGTACGTGTCATAGAGTACATAGAGTCGTAATGTAAGCGGGTGAGCTGGCGCCACTTTTAAGCATTTTCCAGGTCCCGAATTCCGAGACTCCTGTGTGACGCCGGGTCACTTTTTCGATACATAATCGATTGTTTGCGATACACGGGTACCCGGCCATCCGATGTAAACAAAGAAGATAGGAATCACCACGTATTCCACACCGCCATTTTGGATCGAACATGTATCGAAAAAGTGACCGGAACTCGGCGCACACCGGGCTCGGAACTCGTGGTGCAGAACATGGCGCCAGCCCTCCCATTTACATTACGACTCTATGTACTCTATGGTACGTGTGAGTCGCTTATACGGCGCGCTAGGGCGCTCTGCGACGCCTACCCGCCTTAGGAATCTGTCATGGTACAGATCCTCCGGAAACTGGCATCTCTCCATCTCTTCACGGATGCCCTTTACCCACCGTTCGGCTGAACGCCCTCTCCGTCGCCTAACTAGGGGGATCCAGTACCTGGGGAATCCGTACTGAAATCGCAAATAGAGAATTCGCAGGTGTCTGAAATTCGATGAATTTCGTGTTTAAGTGGAAACTACTGAGCGAACGAGGATACACTTGGTTCATGAATTGAACAATCATCGGAGAAGATATGACATAATGATCTAATCTGCTTAAATACGTGTGTTTAAATGGGAAATGCCACCAGATGACATCACTAGGCGGTGAATTTTCTCACCTTTAAATCTTTTTTAAACTATTACCCATATCAGAAAACTTATATAATATACTGTGAAACCAGCCCTTCAAGCACTTTTAGTTGAAGCAATAAAACATTTGCATGCAAATTCTCCATTCCTGACACATGCAAGAGCTCCATGCAGGGTCTCTTGTTTCTGGTTACCACTAGAGTACCCATATAGCGAGAGTATGGACAGATCGCTTCATTGAGGGTTTAGGGCCTAAAAGTGCAGCCACCCTTCTAACCAACTTCTAACGCCCAAAATTTCACTGCCAGTCAGCTGATTCCAACTCCAATCAAGATGGCTAAGAATGTACATAAATGAGCGTTCTTCCGCAAAATGAGTAAATTTATGCAAAAACTAAGTCAAATGCGTGCTTTATAAACGACGGTTCGTAACAATTGTATCTGTAAATCGCTCTGGATAATTGAAATTCATAGGTTGGCTGCATTTCTGGGTCCTAACTTTATTCGCGGAGGCACACTGAAAAAAAAATCTTGGTGTATTTACTAAGAAAAGGGTAAAATTATCAAGAATTCAGGGTTCTATTTGATCCCGGTTATTTCTTGGTAAAATTACCATTTATGGAATTGGTAATTTTACCGAGAAATCTCGGTAAAATTATTGAACTTTTTCGGTACTTTTACTGGACCTTGGTAAAAACGCCAATATTCCTTATCGACTGTGGTAGAATTACCGAGATAAAATGGCAAAGTTACCAGGAATTGATTACCAATGAAAGTGGTATTCTTACCTGAAAAAAAACAGTAAAAATACCGATTTTTAGGAAAGCTTACCAGTCTGTCTTGGTAAAATTACCAATAATTGGTAAAAAAAAGTGAGATGGTAAAGGTACCAACGGACGTTGGTAAAAACGCCGAGACTTTTTTTTCAGTGCATCGGTGAAGGCCTGATGGATTTTCGGAGTTTCGCATCTGTCTTTACTCTCGCTATAGTTATCACGGTGGGAGGATGACGAATGATGACTTGAGGGGAAGGGGGTGGAAAAGAGTGTCAAGGAAGCAGTACCTACAGAGGGAGGCGACCATGAGGAGGGCGGGGACGCCGAAAGCGAGGGGGTAGCATGTCTTCATGCCGAGGCACTGGACGTCCTCGCGGAAGATGGGCGTGATGAAGGTGGAGATGACGGAGCCGGCGTTGATGGAGAAGTAGAAGATGGAGAAGAACTGCTGGAGCTGGCGCTCCTGCTGCGGGAGGACGAACTGGTCGCCGCCGAAGGCCGAGACGCAGGGCTTGATCCCGCCCGTCCCGATCGCGATCAGCACCAGGCCCAGGATGCTCATCGCCCTGTCGAAATCACCAAAATAACTCGAATTAATCCCAGTTCACAATGGAGATGTTGCATGTGCGAGGAATTTGGAATGGACCACTAGACAAGGTACGAATTTCAGCATTCTGATACTTGTCTCTGGACCAAAATTTCACGTAAAACGCGATGCGCACAGCGAAAGTTACCGAAATCAAGTCCTTACGAAGATATTTAATGATTCTTGATACGTGAATTCAAACCATCCGCTCATGAAAACTCAATGCTCTACGTGATACACATCGCGCGCTAAATTTTATCATGACAGTATCTGCGATTTAAAAATCTGGCAACCTCAATTTGACGTTTTGGCTCAGCTGTAGCAAATTACTTATAGTTTGAACAACACATGGTGAGAAATGAACATTCTCGATTGAGAAGCTTGCTGAAACCGTTGTAGTGCGCGATTTGACTCATGTAGAGCTTTGAGTTTCTTGTGAGCGAGCAGTTCAAAATCCGCGTAACCAATGTGAAATAAGAAGGTTAATATCTTCGTTAGGAGGTGGTTTCAGTAATTTTTGTTGCGCGAATCGTGTTTTACGTGAAATTCTAGTTAAGTAACATGTATCAGAATGCTTGAATTCGTGCCTTGTCTAGTGGTCCATTCGGGACCTGGAAAATGCTGAAAAGTGGCGCCAGCTCACCCATTTACATTACGATACGACTCTATGTACTCTATGCTTTCAGGCTCTGAGAGCTCCATGACCTACCCTCCAAAATTACCGACACGCCTGGTACTCTTCCCCTCTTCTCATACAAGTGATCCACTGTCAAAAAAGGAGACCCTCCACTGGCCTCTTGGCTTTCATTTTTCCGGTAATCACCGGTATGACTTTCATTTTTCCGAGTTGGTGTGTTTTCGTTCTCACTGATTCAATGGAGATGTTGCATGTGTGAGGGATTTGCGATTTGACCATTGTTGCTAATGTAAAAGTTCGTGAGAAACACGATGGTGCCACTGATTTTCTCTGAAATCAACTCCCAAGCTCAATAAAAAGCTCTCAAAGTGAGGCCAAAATGGAGGGGATATCCCACGCTATCCTGAGAGTCCACCTCTACATCAAGACAAACTCTCCGTGCAAAGATAGGGAGCAAATACATTGACAGGGCTGCCACTCCATTTGGGGACTCTAAAACTGAAAGCACGGCAACCCTGCTAATGTATTTGCTCCATACCTTTGCATGGAGAGTTTGTCTTGATGTAGACGTGGACTCTCAGGATAGCGTGGGATATCCCCTCCATTTTGGCCTCACTTTGAGAGCTTTTTTTGAGCTTGGGATATGTGCTTTCAGTTTTAGAGTCCCCAAATGGAGTGGCAGCCCTGTCAATGTATTTGCTCCCTATCTTTGCACGGAGAGTTTGTCTTGATGTAGAGGTGGACTCCCAGGATAGCGTGGGATATCCCCTCCATTTTGGCCTCACTTTGAGAGCTTTTTATTGAGCTTGGGAGTTGATTTCAGAGAAAATCAGTGGCACCATCGTGTTTCTCACGAACTTTTACATTAGCAACAATGGTCAAATCGCAAATCCCTCACACATGCAACATCTCCATTGAATCAGTGAGAACGAAAACACACCAACTCGGAAAAATGAAAGTCATACCGGTGATTACCGGAAAAATGAAAGCAAAGAGGCCACTGGAGGGTCTCCTTTTTGACATGAGATCACCTGTATGAGAAGAGGGGATGAGTACGGGCGTGTCGGTAATTTTGGAGGGTAGGTCATGGAGCTCTCAGAGCCTGACAGCATAGAGTACATAGAGTCGTATCGTAATGTAAATGGGAGAGCTGGCGCCACTTTTCAGCATTTTCCAGGTCCCGAATTCCGTGACTTCTGTGTCACGCCGGTCACCACTTCGATACAAATTCACTGTTTTCGATACACGAGGACTCAGTCATCCGTTATCAACAATTCGGATAAGAATTATTACGTATTCTACATGGCCATTTTGGATCGAAAATGTATCGAATATGTGACCGAATTTTGGCTGTGTCATTTTTGTCACGGTTCGGGCGTGAATTTCAAATTTTTTATTTTTTTCTAATATCGGCACGCAAAGGTACTGGAAAAGTCCTTAATTTTTCTGTTGAGCTACTGAATGTTTTGGAAAAATACTGAACAAACACCGTGAAAGAACTGACTTTTTTTTAGAAAGTTACTGTGTATACTCTGATGGTGTCTGAAACATTCCCTAATGAAACACGGTGCAGGGTGCACCTAAGTGTACACTCTCAGGGATGCAGAAAGTTCTGAGCTTTCCCATTTGTCAACCAGGTGTTCCCTTTTTAAAAAAATTCCTCCTTCCTCATAAATTTTACAAAGATGACTCATCTGTGACTCAGTACTTACGAATTGTCGCATTTTAGGACGGAAAAGAAGAGGAGGAAAAAGCGTGATTTTTACCGCGATTTTACGAAAAATACGTAATTTATACACACAGTTTTGCGAAATGAGAGAAAGCGATTTTACCGGCTAAACCAATTACGAACACCGCTTACGGGGTCTTCTCATTTTTACACGTGACCAATCACAACCCGTCCGGTCGCGCGGTCGCAGAGCTTTTGCATTTATGTTCACTCCAGCAGGCGCAGTATAGGCAATTTGCACGTCGCGCGGGTCGTGTGCGTAATTTTGTAGCGTTTGAAGTATTTCCACGATGTTGAAGGCGCTCTACATGGAACACTCGGGCGCGCAAGGTAAAGGTCCTTCTCTGCCTCACAAAAATAATGGCGTCTCGACGCGACGCTTTTTTGATTTTAAGACTGTTAAGAGACCAGTATTGTCGCGTAATATCATTTTCTATACTGCCCGCTACGTCCGAGGATGGGCAGTAATTCCGAAATCTATGTTTTATGAGATAATGGACCTGGTAGCGACCCAGCAGTCCTCTTCTTTTTCTTCTTCTTTTTTTGTGAATTTTCTACTCTTCGTAAAATCGTGAATAATCGTACCTAAAGCTTTTGAAAGTTATTCGGCTGACTAAAAATTGACGAATTTTAACATCGACTGTAAGGAAAGAGTCTCGTTCATTTCGTGAAAATTGTGAGTAATCGTTCCTGTAACTTTTGGACGTTATTCGGATGCTTAAAAGTTGACGAATTTTACCATCGACCGTAAAAAAAGAGTCCCACTCATCTCTCGTCAGGCAAAACTTTAGGCAAAACATCGGTAAATATAGCTATATTCAGCATGTTCGCGTGGTTTGACGTTAGGTTAGAAATTGGCAGAAAAAGGTATACCACTTTACAGACAGTAGGAAGTACAGCTTCTTTGCAGAAATAGTTTGGCTTCCTGTTCTTTTGTTGGAACCGCCGTCGATTTCTGAGATTTTACTCGCCCCTCCTAACAGCTCCTGTCCCATGATCTCAATACTTCCTACGTGTGATGGGGGGATGTATCCTGGGGAAGGAAGAGCTGATGAGCTGATTATACTTCATTTTTGAGGACTAATTCTGCATTATCTTGCGCCAAGAACATCCGAAAATTCGAATGACAGGGTGTCTAGCATCAAGATTTTCCAGATCTCCCGATTCTATCAGGATTTGAGGTCACTCAGGATTTAATCCCGATTTCATCAGGATTTTAGGAAAAATCGGTCGTAAAATCAGGATTTTAGGAATAATCGGTCGTAAAATCAGGATTTGAGAAAAGTCGGCCGTGCGACCAGATTTTTTTATACTTTCGCATACGCTTTTGCGGAAACTTTAATTTTTCTCCGCTGAAAATCAGGATTTGGAAAAATTATGATATCAGAATTTAGCAGTCAAAAGTCAGAAATAATCAGGATTTCTCAAAATGATGTAAAAACTTGACACCCTGAATAACCGACTCTTTGCTAGCAATCCAAAGATTGAAGACGAAAAAGACATGGGGGGGGGGGGGGCGCTGTTAAAGTTTTCTGGCACTGTTGCAGTACTCGCAGTTGCTAATTTTTGAAACGATTCAGTTCTAACTCTCATATTGTCTATTAAGCTTATAGTATAGATGATGCGACTTAGGGCTTTTGAAATGGGCGTATTCATACGAAAAGAAATTATGTAAAACTGAATGGAATCAAAAGGAACATGAGGAACATGTAAATATTTTATATCCTTTTGATTGAATTCTTTTCTTCGTAGTTTCTCCAGGCGTAAATAGTCCAAATGGAACTTGGATAACTTCCGAGAATAAAAAATTAAGTGTAATTTTTTTCTTGCGGGGAAAAAATCGTACTTTATCAGAAGCAGTGGCATTGCGTGGCGTGCCTTATCAATCGATTGATCTGCCGTTTAAACCTGTGGAAAAGTATCGATAAACTGGGTATTTGCAACGAACACCTTAATAATCGATTCTTTACCACAGCTTCGAATGGGAAGAAATCGGAAGTCAATCATTCAAACCTCGCCACTGATGAAAAGAAACTTGGCCGATGTTTTTCCCAAGCCTGGCAGGGCGATCGTTTCTAATTTACTTCTTAACTTGGATTTCGGCTAGCCGTAAGACTCGACGCAATAAATATTTAAATTCGAATGATGGATTAGCCTCCTTATCTAACGAGTGGTGTCACGCTTTGATTTAGTAATTTAATAAAGAGGTGCCAGCGGAGGCTATCTCACTACCACTTTTATCTGAACGTTCCTAGAGAGCAAATTACTCTGGACAAAATTTTCCATACACCATACGTTTATTTTATTTTTACGTAACAGCAAAATTCGGTCGAAACCACTAAATGTACGATTTAGACTCCAATTTGTCCTCAAGAGAAAATGGGCCGCTGAAGTACTACGTTGGACATTTTAGCCGAATGTGTGATCCCACTTTTCTTCTTGTAAGACACCCTGAAACGAACTCTCACCCCTTCTCCCCTTGAATTCCACAACAATGGTCTGATCTCTGAAAGACAGAAAACTAGCTAACAACCTCCAACCTTATAATTTGATTGTTCGCTTTGGAAAAAACTAACCAAGTAAGCATGCGAACAGAGAAAACTTTAAAAAGAAAAAAAAAACCTCTCCGCTATTTTCCCTTCAGTGTGTAAGTCACCTTGTTGCCAGATTGTGCTGAAAATTCAGCACATTTCTCCATTTAACTCAATGTTTAATATCCAGATCTTTTTACGAAATTTGGCAACTTTGGAAGTTACCTTCTTAAATCAACGATCATATTCACCTAATGACGGCTCTGTCCGAAGTCGTGGGACTTTACCGAAAAATGCCTCAATATCCATGAGTCCTTCTGATGCTCATTGTCAGCTTGACGCACTGAAAAAAATCTCTGTGTATTTACTAAGAAAAGGGTAAAATTACCAAGAATTCAGGGTTCTTTGATCCCAGTTTTTTCTTGGTAAAATTACCATTTATGGAATTGGTAATTTTACCGAGAAATCCCGGTAAAATTATTGCACTTTCTCGGTAATTTTACTGGACCTTAGTAAAAACGCCAACATTTTTATCGACTGTAATAGAATTACCGAGATAAAATGGCAAAGTTACCAGGAATTGATTACCAATAAAAGTGGTATTCTTACCTGAAAAAAAGAGTAAAAATACCGGTTTTTAGGTAAGCTTACCAGCCTGTCTTGGTAAAATTACCAATAATTGGTAAAAAAAAAAGTGAGATGGTAAAGGTACCAACGGACCCTGGTAAAAACGCCGAGAATTTTTTTTCAGTGCGGGGAATCGATGATTGTCCAATGAAATTTTCGGCTAGGACACTCCAGGCTTGATTTCTCTGATTTTCATTCCTGGAGTTACTGCTCTCCTCCGTAACGCGGGGGCATAGTCCATGGTTTTGTGGCGGCCAATCACCGCTCACCTCTGGCGACGCAGCCCATGCTCGCTCCCGATTGGCCGCCGCAGCCTCAACCACGGCTATATATGCCGTGACCTCACCACCTCAAGACACTCCGCTCCCGTCAGTCACACGGGCCACATCATTCATCCCAGCGGACATCTCGCAGCCGGCCGGCTTGCCCTTTCAACGGCTCTTCTTAGAGCCACCAAAATTAGAGCACCACATCTGGTCTTTGGCCATAGTTTCAAAGTAGATTCACCACGGTGAACTTGGATGGGAAACCGAGTGCAGCGGTGCGTTTTTCCGGCAAGTAAACAAACAGAGCCGGCCTTGAAAAGTCACCGAAGCGTACACCACGGAATTAATTCCCAGTAGGATGCTCCCCCGGTGAGAGTCGACCTGGGGCCCTTGAACTCGCCCCCCTTGGGGTGTCTACCAGTCCGTAAAGTCCGGAAAGTCCGGAAAAAGTACGCATTTTTTAAGGTCGGTCCGTAAGTACCTTAATGGTACGTAAATCTCGCGGAAGGTCCGTAATTTTTCGCATTTTGCGCTGCGCGTTCAGTTCGATCGCCTGATAGTCATGCAACCCTCTGTGCGTTGTCCGTCAGGCGTATTAGTGCAATGTCAGCCCGAAAGAGCGCGGTTGTTGTAGAGGAGCGGAATCAGGCATTTCCCTAGATTTGACGAAAACAGTCGAAAAGGCCACGGGAATAGCCAAAGTCAAGCGCGCGACAGTGCCAAAATCGAAGAATTGCGATACATATCGAAAAGGTACTGAAAAAGTACTTAATTTTTCCCCAAGGCGAGGTACTTAAATTTTTCCTTAAATACCTATAAAGTACTGAAAAAGTACTTATTTTATTTTTGTGGACCTCAGTAGACACCCTGCCCTTGGCACTTCGTCGACCAAAGAATTAGTTATAAAAAATGTGTAATTAAAGTTTTTAATCGACTTTTTTTATTTTGATGATAAATCTGAACTTTCTATTAATAATATAATTACCATCGACTTTCTCAAAAGTACTATACTATTTTGATATAAAATTAAATTTTTGTTCGGTTAACAGCCTCTCTTGAACTTTTTTACTGTCAGTGAGGGTAAGAAATGAAACATCACCTCACCGCGTAGTAAGAGGTTGCTAGAGTATTACGGAAGTAACCTAAGAGGGTGAAGGGATCTAAATGTCTTATAGGGGGCGGGGGTGTGAAGTCTTGTCTTACTCAGACCTTTCTCTTAAAAATGATTTTTTTTTTTTTTTTTTTTTTTTTAGATTTTCTCCGTTATTTACAGAAAAATTGGGTAGGCTCGCATGATTTTGAAGGGGCTTCAGAGATTTTATTATGTGTGCCTTACGAGAGGGGGGGGGGCTGTCAAAAGATCTGCCAAAATGCCTTACGTAATATTAGTCCGAAAATGAAGTTTTGAAAGGATGGACATAGAAGTTCTGAAATTGTATTATGTTCAATAATTACCTGTTATAAACCGTTACCCATCGGATTGGTCCGTGGCGAGGCGTGAACGATCGATTATCGATATTCCCCCGTTTGAAGCTATTGTAAAGAATCGATTATTGAGGTGTTCGTTACGAACATCCTGTTTGTCGATCCTTTTCAGTAAGTTTAAATGGCATATCAATCGATACATCGGAAAGCACGGAACGGCACTGCAGCTCAATTCCTGCGTCGCCCATCCTGCATGCCAATGAAGTAACCAAAACTGATTTTTATCCCAATATTGCTAATTTTCCGGAAAATGCTTTAATTGTTAAAATGTACCCCACATGGTCGCAAGGTAGATTTACACAGGTATGGACAAGTTGAAAATTTCCCATGAGCCTCAGTACGTGTCACATTACGTGACGTAGGTTAAGGGGCCCGTTTTTTAATTAAATTACAATCAAATTAACATTCAAACATTTGTGCGTTTAAACTTTAAAATTAATATCGCATTATCAAAATTGTGCAAAAAATCCCACAAAATTTTGACAAACGCTAAACCGAACATAATAAATCAAAATAATCAAAACATACAAAATGGCGGAAGTTAAGGGGCCTCTGGAGAGCCAATCAGAGGCCAGTTATTTAGTTCTGTCCATACCTGTGTAAATCTACCTTGACATGGTCGGTTCAAAATTAGACGAAGCAGGAAGCTTGTAGAAGTAATGTCTTTACCTCATATCTTTGTAGGTACTTTTGGAATTTCATACAGTTCTACGGGTAATTTTTCAGCTGTAAGGTTTTTTTTTTTTTTTTTTTTTTTTTTTTTTTTTTTTTTTTTTTTTTTATCTTAACTTGTTTGTCCTTAATAATGCCCTTAATTAATTACTTTTGTCACCAATAGTAAATGGGGAGGGGCTATGGGAAAGAATATGAGAGGATAAAAACGCTGGCAGAAGTTCTAAAAAACCCCGGCTCCGACGACAGCGCTCCCTTTATTTTTCGTCACGCCACGCTACTGTGTGAAACAAGACTTGTCGCTTTCACAGCGCTCTCTGGCGCTCTGCGACGCCTAACCGCCACAAAACCCGGTTCTATCACAGCCCCGTTGTGGGAAACATGACTTAATAAGAAGAAATATCACTCTTTCCTTATGATTAATTAATCGGATTCCGTTATATATTTTTTGGATTGCTTTTTTTCAAAGATGCTAATTACTAAGGAAATGTAAGATTTTGTCGAGTAGCTTACCTGGTAGGAAGGTTTAGCACAGTGGCGGAAGCGGTCGAAAGCACAATGTTCCCAAGAGCGTAGACAAGTGATAGGTAGAAAATTGTCCTGCAAACAGAGATGTAGGATGTTGACATCAATAATCATTCAATAAAATCAGCCTAAATCGTACTTGGCTTTTGTGGTATTGTAAGTGGCAATTTGCACAGTTTTTATGTGAATCGCCTTAGCGGTACTTGAAAGATTTTCAAGTTAAGATACGGTACCGATGAATAACGTTTTATTTGAAGGTACACCATCTATACCGACGAATAACGTTTTATTTGAAGGTAAACCATACCGACGACTAACGTTTTATTTGACGGTACCGTACCGACCACTGACGTTTTATTTGACACGTACCAACAAATAATATTTTGTTTGACGAAGCTGTACCGAGAAATAACCTCTCTCCTAAGATTTTTTTGAAAAATTTCAATTTGTCCCTAAAAATCAGGCTTTCTAACTTACTCGAAAGTCGCTTTTCCGAACAGGTGCATGGTGGGTGAAGGCAATGGTATTTTTTTTTGGACTCTGGAGCTAAAAACAAACAGAGGAATACTGCCATGCCGAGGAAGAAAGCCGTATGAACATTCGAGAGTTGCCAAATTTCCCTCGATAAAATGGGTATTTTTAAGGAAAAATATGAATATTTTGCTGGAAAGTCTCAGGGACATCAGGTGAAATTGCGAACGAAATAATCTGAAAAATTGGAAGGAATATATTCATAAGTTTACCAGGAGATTCGCGTTTTATCAAAGGAAATTTGGTAACGCCTGGGGCTCATATGGCGTATTTCCTTAGCACGACAGAATGCACCAGACCAGACGAGCTGCTTGGTCATGACGTCAAATACGATGTCATTTCCGATGATGTGACGCACTCTTTTATTGCAGACCTGATTCTCTGGTAGAAATTCCTGCCGACCTCCTCCAGAAATCCATCTCCGTTCCTCTTAGCTTACCCTGTGTCCGTTTCCTTAGGCTGCCAAACTTCACATTTATATGTAAGAATACGTTTGACTACAGCGTTGTGAATGGGCCTGTTGCAAACTTTTGCTAGAGCAAAAATAAGAGTTGTTTCTTATAGATAATGCCTCAAAAATCACGATGAGCGCATCGGCAAAGTCTGAAATGCACTCCTAACTTCACAGTCTGCGTAAGAAATTTGCGGTTTTTTGAGCTTCCCGCTTCAAAAGCGATACTACGGCACAGGTGAACATTTTGTAAGAGGAGTCGTTCCATCGTCGGCAATACTCATCATGGCCGACGCCAATCCGCCAAAACACGTGTGATGGGACGAGATAATACCTGAACTGGATTAGACCAGATAACAATCGGCGTGTTTTAACGTTCATGTTTTCCACGCCCGCATTGATTGACCTTGAACTCTCCTCGAATTACGCGCTAAACTGCGCGCAAGTGTCGGCCATGATGAATATCGCCGACGATGGAGCGACTCCTCTAACAAAATGTTCACCTGTGCCGTAGTATCGCTTTTGAAGCGGGAAGCTTAAAAAAACGCAAATTTCTTACGCAGATTGTGAAGTTATGAGTGCATTTCAGACTTTGCCGATGCGCTCATCGTGATTTTTTAGGCATTATCTATAAGAAACAACTCTTATTTTTGCTCTAGCAAAAGTTTGCAACAGGCCCATTCTCCTATTGTTCTCTTTGGCAGATCAATAATTCGAAAGGATTCCACTTAACATCGCTATAGCCTTCCTTTCTAGGGCGTCCTATTTCCTTAATTGCTTGATACGTATTTCCATCCTGGGTCAATCCTACCCCAAGTGCTTATAGTCCGCGCAGCCTTTAACATGCTGCCCATATGGGGGAATATTGGTTTTAAATATTTAACAAGGCTGGTCCTAGTTTTCACTGCTGATTGGTGCTAAATGTGTCCTTGCCGAATTATAATCTTGGATCTTTTTTATCATCAACCAATTTTTTCGTAAAATCGAATTTTCCATTGAAGCGTCTTTTTCACACTGAGAAGATGCGAATTTGAAAAAAAAAAACCCTATTCTCTTCGGGTTGCCTCAACACCTGTATAATACTGGCATGCTTTGTGCTTCTGCTCACAGGTAATACTTCATTTTTAACTCCTTTCCTGGATAAGAGGAGACCGAGTCCGGGTTATATCAGTGGCGCTGTTCGTGAGAGAAGAGGATAAGCTGCATCTTGAACTTGACATCTTCATAGAATGCAAACGACATGACAAGCAAGATAGCTCCTCCTAAAACCACTTCAAAGGGTCTCGAAGTCCCTGAAGCGTGTGAGCAAGAGATCAGTATCAAGGGCACAAGTGAGACCACGTATTGCCGATCTCCTGATCGTCAATCGCAGCTTGGAGAAACTCGAGCTGGACTGTTATCTGATGAGCACGCTACAGCAGTACAATATCGATCTTTTCATGGGTCTGTTCCTCAAATTAAAGAAGAGGAGGATTGCAAAACTGAAGATCCGTCCCATTTGTTACACACTAGTGTTGAAATCAAAAACGAAATAACTTTCGAGTCCGAAAGTGTACCAGAAACTTGTGACTGTAAAGATGATCTATTCGATCATGTCGGCAGCGTTCCAGATCGTTGCTTCACGCCTCCTTTCGATTTTGAAAAAATTGGGAGCTTTAGAGTAAAAGACGAATTAAGCAGCAACTTTGAGCCATTATTTGATCTGGAATCCATTAAAACACGTAACGTCTCCGTGAAAATCGTAGACTTGTTTCCTAGCAACATCCGTAAACTTGGAAAAGCCCACACAAACAGTCTCTCTTGTGCTTGTAAATACTGCAGCAAGGTTTGTGATAATATTCTCTCTGACGGACGCACTCTGAAAAGTTTTAAGACAAAATATGCTTTAAAAAATCATAGGATTGTGCACAGCAGTGAAAAACTGTTCAGTTGCAATGATTGTAGTAAGAGTTTTAAGACAAAATCTTCTTTAAATAATCACATGATTGTGCACAGCAATGAAAAACAGTTCAGTTGCAATGATTGTAGTAAGAGTTTTATGAGGAAATCCGATTTAAAAAAACACATGATAGTGCACAGCAATGAAAAACTGTTCAGTTGCAATGATTGTAGTAAGAGTTTTAAGACAAAATTGTCTTTAAAAAGTCACATGATTATGCACAGCAGTGAAAAACTGTTCAGTTGCAATGATTGTAGTAAGAGTTTTATGAGGAAATCCGATTTAAAAAAACACATGATAGTGCACAGCAATGAAAAACTGTTCAGTTGCAATGATTGTAGTAAGAGTTTTAAGATAAAATTGTCTTTAAAAAATCACATGATTGTGCACAGCAATGAAAAACAGTTCAGTTGCAATGATTGTAGTAAGAGTTTTCTGAGGAAATCCGATTTAAAAAAACACATGATAGTGCACAGCAATGAAAAACTGTTCAGTTGCAATGATTGTAGTAAGAGTTTTAAGACAAAATTGTCTATAAAAAGTCACATGATTATGCACAGCAGTGAAAAACTGTATAGTTGCATTGATTGTAGTAAGAGTTTTCAGAAAAAATCTCATCTAACAAGGCACATGATTGTGCACAGCAATGAAAAACTGTTCAGTTGCAATGATTGTAGTAAGAGTTTTAAGACAAAATTTTCTTTAAATAATCACATGATTGTGCACAGCAATGAAAAAATGTTCAGTTGCAATGATTGTTGTAAAAGTTTTAAGATAAAATCCGCTTTAAGAAAACACATGATAGTGCACAGCAGTGAAAAACAGTTCAGTTGCAATGATTGTAGTACGAGTTTTATGAGGAAATCCGATTTAAAACAACACATGATAGTGCACAGCAATGAAAAACTGTTCAGTTGCAATGATTGTAGTAAGAGTTTTAAGACAAAATTTTCTTTAAATAATCACATGATTGTGCACAGCAATGAAAAACTGTTCAGTTGCAATGATTGTAGTAAGAGTTTTAAGAGAAAATGTACTTTAAAAAATCACATGATTGTGCACAGCAATGGAAAACTGTTCAGTTGCAATGACTGTTCAAAGAGTTTTAGGAGAAAATCTCATCTAACAACGCACATGATTGTACACAGCAATGAAAAACTGTTCAGTTGCAATGATTTTATGAAGGGTTTTAAGACAAGAAGTATATTAAAAAACCACATGACTGAATAGTGGAGACAAACGATTCAGTTGTAATGATTGTAATACGTGGTTTAATCCGAGGAAATATGTAACAGTAACAGAGGAAATCGGAAAATAAAGTGCCCTAATTTTGTTTGTTTAGTCTTTTTTTCATTGCTCTAAATAGCAATCCCGTAACAACGAAGAAATCTTGAAGGCTGCAAGTGATAAATTCTAAACCTGTTAAATATAGCCTTCAATGTGCTAAACAAATGTGACTTAATGTTTTTTACCTGAGCGCAAAGCGTAATACCTATAAATGAACAATACCTAATCATATTAATTCATATGGATGATTTTTAGATTCATATACTATCCTGACCATTATGACTGCCTCAAAAACTTGCAGATATCCGATTGATTTGACTTAGCCTCCTCTAATTTTGCTTTTTTTCACATGATACAGAATACTAATGCTGCAACAATTCCATTCCATTTTTGTCAAAAATTTAGCATGCACCTAAATTCATGTTTTTCCAGTAAATTTTAATTTTAGCAGTATAAGATGCCTTTTTTAATTTTTCTATTGTTTTCTTCCGAACCTAATCTCAAAAACTTTAATCATTAATGAGAATTCTGTTCCTGTTCTATATTACTTGTAATTTACTGCTCGCAGATGTATAACGGTTTTTGCGTTGTGCATTTTTTTTACCTCAGGTCTAAACCAACGGATTGTTTTCTCTTTTTTTTTTTTCATCCCTTGGTTTTTGCGGTTCATGAAGATTTTTTTCTTTTCTTGTTTTTTGCGCACTCAGCGCTTTGAAATTTGTGCCGTATTCTAAGTACTTTGCTTAATAGAGAATTTGCAGGTGTCTGAAATTGTGTGAATTTCATCTTTATAATGATACTGCTAGGAAAACTGAGCTGAGGACAGCCTTGATTTCTAAATTGAACAATTATTGGAGAAAATATGACGAAATAACCCAATCCGCTGAATTACATGTGTTTAAATGGAAAATGCCGCCAGATGACGTCATAAGGCTGCACATTATTTACTTCTAAAACTTTTTTTCTCCAATATCCCATTTCAGAAAAAAAAATTATGAAAAATACTGCGAACTCAGCTCACTAGGCACTCTCAGATAAAGCAATGAAATTTTTGTGTGCAAATTCTCCAGTGGTGAAATAATATATTTCTCCCTCACTCTAAGTATTAAGCTGGCACTTACTTTTTTCGTCTCAAATGTATTGAACCTTAAATCCTGAAATTCACGCATAGACCTTTTCCTTAAAAACTTTTTTTTTCTTTTTTTTTGAATTTGAAAAATTAATATATACCTACTTATATGAATGCTAGCTTCATTCAATGGAAATCTGGTAACTATCAGAAGAAGAACTCGACAGAGCTCCAAGACATATATTGCACATCCTGTCGAGGTATATCGACGGTGAAACTACCAAACCACGTATCTCGGTTTGCGACGTCGCAGACTTCCTGTCATACTTTATTTTTTAAATGAAAAACTACTTAACATCCAGTCTTGAAAATTTCTGTGATTTTTCCTCTTTGTGCGGAGAAAATTCCGGGAAAATTTCAAGGAATGATATTGATTTGGTCTACTTCAAAAAAAAAAATAAAATGTGAGCGTAGATTTTTAAACACCGCAAACGAGATACGTGGTTTGGTAGTTTCACCATCGATATATAATACCTAACATGGCATTAACCCCTTACCAATAAACCGCTTTTTAAGTTACGAATTTAAGCATTCTAAGGCATGCGCCCTACTTAAAATTTCACGTAGAATACGATTTGAGAAAATAAATTTGCTGGTACAAACTTCTAACTGATGGTGAGATATTTAACGTTTTTCGATGCTTGAAATCAAACCTCCCGCTCATGATAAGACAGAACTCTTCGTCTTCGTAACTGGAAACGCGCACTGAACGTTGCCGTAAATCACACAGTACATAGAGTCGTAATGTAAACGGGAGTGACAGCGTCATTTGTAAGCATTTTCCGAATTCCGTAACTTCTGTATCACGCCGCACACCAAGTCGAGTCAACAGGAGGAATCGGACAAAGTCTGGAAACTTTGAAAGTTTAGGTATATTTTTGACAATATGAAACAAATCAGTTTGAGGGTGGTTTCATTGGTTTTGGCATGAATTTTCCTCTCGGAAATACCCTCTAAAATTGAACTTGTGACGAAACAAACTTAGGAATTGCCCAAAAATGAAATGTCGGACCTCTTTTATTAGTTCGTTCCACTGTGCGCCGGGTCACTATCTCGACACAATATCGAATGTTTTTGACCCGGTAATCCGATATAAACAAAGAGGATATGAATTATTACGATTCAACATCGCCATTTTGGATCGAACATATATCGAATAGGTGACCGAATGTCGGCGCACCCTGGGCTCGGAACTGGTCGACCAGAACATCCCCCCAGCTCTTTTCATTATATTACGACTCTATGTACTCCATGTATTACGACTGTATAGACGCTATTAGTGGCACGTCACAGAAAAGCGATGTATATCGATTTATTTCAAAGACATAAAGACGGAGGGCTAAAAGCAAAAAATGAAGCTTCTTTTCAACCACCTCTACGATTGGCTAGAGGATTGGCGGCGAAATCGGGACAAGTTTGAAATTCAAATGTAGGGCGGGAACTAAATAAACTTGCGGAAACTAAGTATTCTAGGTTGATTTTTGCCCAAATTCACTTACCCACTCACATTTTTTCAACTTTAGGTTAGTTTTGGTCCGTCGTCGACCGATTAATTTCATTTGGGAGTAACAGTCATCTAGAACTGTAACGGCCTGTTTGAACCTGCAGAACCACCATGAGCAGAAGAAAAACTAACTTTATCTGAGATTACTGCCTGTTACCGAGCAAAAGTAGGTGTATTATAATAGGACGCAGTCCCAACTTTCTTAATATATTCGTTTTAGGCATTTAAAATACGATTCGAAGAAGAAATGTGGAAAAATCAAGTGCCGTCAGCTGGTCTAACATGAGCCGGTTTTTGACTTTGAGGCTTTGCATTTTTGCAGTAAATTTTTTTTTCATGCAATCAATTTTTGTTGTAGATCAGTCCCACATAGAAGAGTAAGAATAGCCCATTGAAAAAATTTTCCAGCAAACTGGGTATTTTTTTTTTTAAAAAAATTGAGGTGGCTCATGTTACCTGCAAGGTGGGGTAACATGAGCCACCCTATTGTTTTTAATTTAAAGGCACATGTAAGCCTACTATAGGCTTACATGAGCCTCCCAAAAGTTTTTTTAAAAAAAATTGAGTTACAAAACATTAAAAACCAGGCTAAAAACGTACAAAACTTTAATTTTCCTGCAATTTACGTCAAATTTCAGGCGAACAAATACATTTAACATCTAAAACCTTGTATCTAACAGGAAATCATTTAACAATCAATAGCACTAAGTTACTTTAAAGGCACACCGACAAGACAAATGGGACCTAAAGTCAAGAGAGATCAGTCAAAGTTTCTTAAAAAGTATATATATAGTAGTATTTTGGGCTACGTTAGATTCACTTTTATTCATAGTAATATATATATAAGTATAAAATTAATATTGACTTTAATTTTAATTTTTGGAACTTTTTAGCTTTGTTTTCCCCGCAAAATGGTGTGGACTCAGCACCATTTCTCCACCTTGTTACGTACAGTTCGGGCCACTTCTTAGTGTTTTTTTCTTTTTTTTTCTTATATAAGTATATATAGTATACAAGTCTTAAAAAGACGAACAGTAAATATGGAAGATACGTGAAGGAGTTGATTTATGCTCTAAAGGAATGCCAATTTTACTAAGAATGTATCATGAAAACCATTACTGTATAGATTGTTCCTGGAGGACTTGCGAAAATTGGGTGGCTCAAGTTACCTCCAACATTCCAAAATTTTGGTTTTTCCAAAAAAAAATTGGTCAAAAACTAAAATGTTCAAAATCCAATGCATGGGCATGAAAGTTGGAGGTATTTGTGAGGTTCGGCGACCGGCGAAATTATTCTGTGATTATCGATAGTCACTTTTCGAGGAGGTTAGTCTCAGAGGTAGAAAAAGGGGCAAAAAATTCTAAAAACTAAATAATTTATAAAAATTTCTTATCGATGGAAAAATGTGTCTCTATACCATTGCAATTCCGCCAAGACACGCCACTATCACATCATGTTGTTGTTTTCGTTGTTTACTTTCGCGACAGTGCTGCCACAGGCAAGAGAAAAAAAAATCCCCAAACGGCTCATGTTACCCCCGAGGCTCATGTTAGACCAACTGACGGTGGATAAGTTCAAATCAAATTTCCGTTTGCCGCCATGGATTCCCGCGCTCATTTACACACTCACACAAGCACCCAGCGCCAAACCAGGCTTCACTTTTTCCCCATGCTTTTAGATACGAGCACTCCGTCTTTATGTCTTTGATTTATTTGCATTGGTAGCATTGAAAGAGGTTACGCCAATGTTATTGTTTGGATCCAACTCGATATAATTGAGAATCCCTATGATGACGTCGCCACTTTACAGCGTCTATGCTGCCGTGCTAAGGAAAAACACCGTATGAACATTCGAGAGTTGCCAAAGTTCCTTTGTTTAAATGTTTATTCCTAAGGTTAGTTCTGAATATTTTTCCTTGAAATATCCGGGAGCTTTAGGTGAAATTGATAACAACATTATTTGAAAATTTGAAAGAAAAATATTCATAAGTTTACCAGGAAATGTATGTTTTATAAATGGAAATTTGGCAATGCCTAAAGGTTCACGGCGTTTTTCCTTAGCACGGCAAAGTGTACTCCATGTCGTTAAAGAAACGTGGAAACATCAGATTCTCAAACTTGGCGCTTCGGCCCAGTTGCTGCTCGTTGTTTAGGTACACTTTAAACAACGAAGGGTAGGGAACGAACACTGCTTGATTGAGAAGCCCGCCAAAACTGATACAGTACGCGACTTGACCCGCGGAGTGTATCAATTTCTTTGTGTCCGTGAGCGGGCATAATTTATTTTTTCCGTAACTAATGCAAAATGAATCTCGATATGTGATTTGAATGTATGGACAAAGGACCAATTGGACGTATTTCTGTCAAACGGAACTAAGCGCCAATTTGAGTTCCTTTTGAGGATTTTAGAATGCCGGTTAGCGCGTTCTGTCAAACGGAACTAAGCGCCACGGCAAAGCATTGCGAGTATAGGACGGAATGAGCCCGACGCCTGGCTCCGCCGCCAATTCAAGCCCCCCTATGGCGCTTAGTTCCGCTCGATAGAAATACGTCCAATTATCAGGGTGCTCGCAAAATACACCTCAAGAAACGATTTTTTACCACAGCCTCACATGGGAATACATCGATAGTCGATTTTCCACGATTTACCACTAGATACTCTCCGTAGATTTTTGTGCCACGAGGAAAATAAAACGATTTGCATTGACTTACCAAGTAGTACCGTAGTGTTCCCCAATTTTACCGTCCATCCGAATAAAAGTAAAATCTCTTATCTCTGAATCAAAAAGGGCCGTTCATAAAGTACGTGGCGCTCTAGGAGGAGGATGTCTGCGTTGCTGCGGTGGTAGATTACCGAGGGAGGGGGGGGGGTGGAAGGCCGCAGTACGTCACGTCTAGCTCAGCATTTTAATTTATTCAGATAACTTATTTTTATTTTCGTTTTTTCATTTTATTCTATTAATATTTTATGATATGCTCCTTAAATTTTCTCGTTTGATTCATAACTTTTTCTCTTTTTTCCAGAATTCCAGTTGACAAAATGTTCTGATCAATTATATTTTCCATGTTTCTATCCTTCATTTTTGCCCCAGTCGGTTTTTCTTCAAGGTGATTCGATGGACGCCATATTTTGTGTCAGAAAGGCATGCGATACATCGCATCCATTGGTTCCATTTTCTCAGCTACCCGTCATTTTTCTCCGATTTTAAGATCGCAATTCTGTTGTCGGGATAATAAGGCACTCACCAATTTTAACAAAGGAATTCAACGTAATAAAGGCGTAGTTTTTTTAGAGAGGAAATATCGCATTCGAAAGCAGTTTCGATATAAGTATCGAATGCGATGTTTTCTCTCTGAAAAAACCACGCCTTTATTACGTTGAATTTCTTTGTTAAAATTGGTAGTGAGTGCTTTAGTCTCCTGACAACAGAATTGCGATCTCAAAATTGGAAAAAAATGACGAGTAGCTGGAAAAATGGAACCAATTGATGCGATATATCCCATCCCGTTCTGACACAAAATATGGCGTCCATCGAATCACCTAAATAGAAACAGAAGAGCAACTAAAGCTTATCGGTGATTTTGCACGTTAAGAGGAGTGTTCCGTTTTTGTAATGGAGGTACCAACTGGGGTTACGGATCTTTTAGGGGCGAGGAGGGTGAAAAATCGTATTTTTAGCGTTACGTGTTTTATGAACGGCCATTAAGCAGTAATCAGTAGCAAGTAAGTAGAGTTTTGTTCGTACTTGAATTTCCCGAGAAATGAGTCAGCAATGATTCCGCCGACCAATGGGAAGAAGTAGCAGAGGAAAGTGAAACCATGGTACAGCACCGTTGCATCATCCTCGCTGTAGAGAAGCACTTTGTTCAAGTACAGTGCAAGCACAGCTGCAACAGAAACCAAATAAATACATTTTTCATCTCTCTCTCTCGCTCTCTCTGGAGAGAATCGTTCATAAAAAAGGAAAGTAAAAACGGCGGGCTGATTATTGACAGATGAAGCGGAAGGCAAGGAGTATGGAGCGACCCTATTGGTTGAAATGGGTGGTTTCAATAGAGAAAGGGAGAAAATTGTGGAGTAACTCGACGTAATTCTGCACTGGAAAAAAAAAAGACACAATGGATCTAGAGTCCAAACTCTTAAAAACATCGACAAGAGAAAATACTCTTGATTCAATCAGATTTAGGCTTAAATCATCACCAATCCTCTTAATTTGAGCGGAATTCCTTTTGATTTAAGCTTAAATCTAATTGAATCAAGAGTCCTTTTTCTTGTCAATGTTTTCAAGAGTCTGGACTCTAGATCCCATGTGTTTTTTTTTCCAGTGTGCCGAACGGAACTATGTGCAATACGACATGAGCCATGCGACCCATATAATATGTGCATAACAGGGCTCAGGCTCACGTCATAATGCACGAAGTTCCGTTTGATAGAAATAGGTACGTCCAACTACATAAGGAGGGTCTCTCATAGGTTGTTGTTAGTTAATCCATTACCTACTTTATCCACTGCAACCACCCGCTTTCACCAATGGAATCCTCTGCTTAGTTTTCTTTGCTACATAGCTTCGTCTATCGATTTCAATAATCGGTCCGCAAGAAATAAGTGTGTCATATCTTGATGCTTCAGTCAATGGACCGCGACAAGACAACGTCTGTACCTGCAAAAGTACCACATGCTCTCTCTACAAAATCTTGGTAGAATTCGATTCACACAACACGTCGTTCAGAAACTAAATCTTGAACTAAATTTTCGATGTAATTTTCGACTAAATTTTTTAATTTTTCGATGGACGCCATATTTTATATCAAAACGACTTGAGAATTTATCTTGTGATATATCGCATCGATTAGTTCCATTATTTCATCAACTTGTCATTTTTCTCAAATTTTGAGATCACAGTTCTGCTCTCAGGATACTAGAGAATTCACTCACCAATTTTGACGAACGACTCCAACGTAGTGTACTTATGCGTGGTTTTTTTTTTAGAGAGAGGATATCATATTCGAGTGCAGTTTCAATATCAGTATCGAATGCGATATTTTCTCCACCCTCTCTGTAAAAACCACTCCTATACTCCTATATTGCGTTGAAATTGTTTGTCAAAATTGGTAAGTGAACTCTTTAGTCTCCTGAGAGCAGAATTGCGATCTCAAAATTAGAGAATAATGACGTGTATAGGTTTACCTACAGTAGATAGCTTTAAAAAAGGAACTAATCGATGTGATTTATCGCTTGCCGTTCTGACACGAAATATAGCGTCCATCGAATCACCTCAACGTCAGGGTGTCTACAAGTCCGGAAATAGTACGGATTTCTTAAGGGCGGTCCGTAAGTACTGAAAAAGTGCGAAAATTCCGCAAAAAGGTCTGGAATTTTTGTCGCAATTTGAGCGAGAAATTCAAATTTCGTCAAATGAAGGTACTGGAAGAGTACTGAAATTTTCTATTGAAAAGGTACTGAATTTCTTGGGAATGTTCTGAAAAAGTACCGTAAAAGTACCGATTTTTGGCTAGCCTGTTTGAGTAGACACCCTGAACATGGAAGTTAAGTCGTACAAATTACGTCATTGTCAGTTGTAAATAAGTATATCTTGTTAAGTTGTTGATTTCCATACTTCCCGTTCAGTGATTCGTTTCTCTTGTGAAATCTTGAGGAGCAAACATGTTGCGCAGTGCAATTCATTACGTACTTGCGTAGAGGCTCATTTGTCTCAATAAATCTCCCCAAATTCGGCTTTGATCGCTAATCATTTTTCCGGAGTTTTCATTTTTTCTGAGCACATACTTTCGCACACGGAAAATTCTACGAAATCTACGTTTCCATCCCGGACCAAACCGAGGAACCGTAGATTCGCTCAGATTTTCCCAGCAGGCTGATTATTGAAATTGATGGCCAAGGGAGACGCAGGGAGTATGGTGCAAGCCTATTAGTTAAAACGGGTGGCTCTTATCCTCAAAGGGGAGAATGATGGACTTACTGAAGGGTCTCTAGTTGATGGCTGTTAGTCTATCACTGCTTCCTTTGTACATTAACCACCCGCTGCCACCAATAGGATCTCTCAATTTTCCTTCTGTCTCATGTCCAGGGGTCATGAAATAGTCACACAAGTCTGGAAATATGACGGATTTTTTAAGGGCGGTCCGGAAGTACTGAAAAAGTGCGGAAATTCCGCAAGGATGTCCGGATTTTTTTTTAAATTGTTGTCATTTTTGTCGCAATTAGAGCGAGAAATTCACATTTTTGAAATGTTTCGAATTTCGTCAATTGGAGGTACTGAAAAAGTACTGAATTTACCGAGAAATCTCGGTAATTTTACTGGACCTTGGTAAAAACGCCTATATTTTTTTATCGACTGTGGTAGAATTACCGAGATAAAATGGCAAAGTTACCGGGAATCGATTGCCAATAAAAGTGGTATTTTTACCCGGAAAGAACAGTAAAAATACCGGTTTTTAGGTAAGCTTACCGGTCTGTCTTGGTAAAATTACCAATAATTGGTAAAAAAAAGTGAGATGGTAAAGGTACCAACGGACCTTGGTAAAAATGCCGAGAATTTTTTTTCAGTCCGGTGTTATTTTTCCTCTGATCTCAAACCCCGACGTCGACCTAACGGGAGCTGCCACGTTCGACCACCTCTTAAGGTGTCAATAACAGTGCCGAGAAAATGTCCCATTTCAAAATGAGGGAAACCAATGTTTTTCCAATGCAGTGACACCTCCTTATTGGTATCTTTGAAAACGTGTCTAAAAAAAGTAGCGTCAAGAAAACATCTACCGGAAATACTCAAAATTTCCCGTCGCATCATCAGTTGATTGCCGGAAACTCCAAGTACGCGAAAGTATACAGCCGGCGTCAAATGAATGTTCACTTGAATCACTTGACGCCTTATACTGCAGCGTGCAATGAGCGGAGAGAGCAGTATGTGTCAAATTTTCGAAATTGAGTTCCCTTTAAAATTCGTCTCTTCTCGTCATCTCTTTAGGATGAAATCACTGAAATAGCTAAAACAGCGAAATTCAATTTAATGGACCACTTGAGAAGGTACGAATTTCAGCATTCTGATACACATTTCGTAATTAAAATTTCACGCAGAACACGATGCGCACGACAAAAATTACCGAAATCAACTCCCTACGAAGATTTTTAATGATTCTTGATGCGTGAATTCAAACCACCCGCTCATGAAAACTCAATGCTCTACGTGATTCACATCGCGCGCTAAACGTTATCATAACAGTCTCTGCTATATAAAAATCTGGCAGCCTCAATCTTGACGCTTTGGCTCAGCTATAGCAAATAGCTAATAGTTTAAACAACACATGGTGGGAAATGAACATTCCTCGATTAAGAAGCTTGCTGAAACCGTTGTAGTGCGCGATTTGACTCACGTAGAGCTTTGAGTCTCTTATGAGCGGGCAGTTCAAATTTCTCGTAACCAATGTGAAATAAAAATGTTAATATCTCCGTTAGGAGTTGGTTTCCTTAATTTTCGTTGTGTGAATCGTTTTCTACGTGAAATTATGGTTAAGAAACATGTATCAGAATGCTAAAATTCGTACCTTGTCTTCCATTGTTTGACAAAGAGACATACGAGAAAGCCGTGCGTGAGTGCGCAAAAAATGACGTAGTTTCAGGCAAAACAACAGTAAGTGGCATTATTCCTCTAAAGAGCAGATGAAAACAGTGCTTTCAAGTACAGTGCCGCCCTCTTCTGCTATTTTCCAGCCCGAAACAGCCTGAAAATGTGTTGGTCAGGGCCGGATTTACCTACTGCTTGCCGCCCATGGGCCGCCTGTATTTTGCCGCACCCTTCTCATTCGTTTTGAAACATCGATAAAAACCATCAAGTGAACGTTCCGAAGGGGGGGGGGAGGTGGTGCATAAGACGCGTTCACTCTTGTTTAGTTCATTTTTTTGTGAAAACCGTTTTAACACTAGCATAATTTCACGGAACTCCGCACGAAAGTTAAGTTCCGTAAACTTATCTCTGTGTGGACAAGACCTTCCATTTACAAGAAATGAACGAAAAAATTGTGAAAGAACAATCCTAAATGTGGTTTAAAAACTTTAACTTCCGCCGTCGCGCCGCGCTGACCGCACTCTGTTTGGCACAATGCGTGAAGTATTCAGGCAGTCTTGTAGGCGCTATGCGTTGCACGTCGACCACAGCTGACCGCGCGTTGTGTTTGACGCGATGCGTGAAGTATTCATGCAGTCTTGTAGGCGCTATGCGTTTCACGTCCACCGCTGCTGAATGCACTGTGTTTGACGCAATGCGTGAAACATTCATAAGGTCTTGTAAGCGCTAATATGTGTTTCATGCCAACCACCGCGCTGAGGGCTTCTCCTTTTAATCTCAAGTACGCGTCATCATTACTCTCTGCACCGCGCCGCTCCAGGCCAAATTGCGTGTTTGGTTTCTCTCTTAACTCGACTAATTAAAGGTACTATCTCTTGTATCACCGAAAGACGACAAACTTGGAAATTACTACACTCTCGGGAGATGAGAGATTTTGTCGCATTTGCCCGTTTTCCGAATCCGATTTTTTTTATACATATATTTTCAAAAATTGCAAAATTTCTGCCCCCTAAATTTGCCGCCATGGGCCGCGGCCCATGTGGTCACCCCCCTAAATCCGGCCCTGGTGTTGGCCGTGTGTCCAAAACGCAATCACGAAAGCATACAGAAGATAGCAGTTACGGCTGTCTTACCTAGCACTAGCCTAGCATGAAAATGAAAAGTACCCTTTTTATACAATTGAAATCAAATCAGTCGATTTTGAATCATCCAAACGATTTCTAGGAGTATTCCGGATGATCAGTGGCAATTTGACAAAGAACGGAGGCCTCTTTCAATAAAATTTTCCTTAGACGCTTCGGAGCCCGTTTTCTCGATACTTCATTTTTGCACTTACTGATGTTCTCTTCGCTATCACTGCAGCACTGCTCAAGGTATCACTATCTACGCACGATGTCAGGGTGAGACTCCCTGCGTACTATGTCAACTATAGGCAGAGCTGATATATAACCGGGAATGCTGAATACTTCCAGTAAATATGCACTTGACGCTTCATACTTTCGCGCGCTATCATAGAGTGTTTCCGCGGCGATCAGTTGATGTAATGGGAATGGACCACTAGACAAGGTACGAATTTCAGCATTCTGATACATGATTCCTGACCAAAATTTTACGTAGAACACGATACGCATAACGAAAATTACCGAAATTAACTCCTTACGAAGATATTTAATGATTCTTGATGCGTAAATTCAAACCACCCGCTCATAAAAACTCAATACTCTACGTGATTCACATCGCACGCTAAACGTTATCATGACAGTATCTGCGATTTAAAAATCTGGCAGCCTCAATCTTGACGCTTTGGCTCAGCTATAGCAAATTACTTATAGTTTGAACAACACATGGTGGGAAATGAACATTGCTCGATTGAGAAGCTTGCTGAAACCGTTGTAGTGTGCAATTTGACTCAAGTAGAGCTTTGAGTTTCTTGTGAGCGGGCAGTTCAAATTCCTCGTAACCAATGTTAAATAAAAGCGTTAATATCTTCGTTAGGAGTTGATTTTAGTAATTTTAGTTGCTCGAATCGTGTTCTACGTGAAATTCTGGTTAAGAAACATGTATCAGATTGCTTAAATTCGTACCTTGTCTAGCGGTCCATTGCCGAATACTTCCGCCGGGTATTCCGTACTACCGCTGGATTTGGGATCAGGAGGCAATATTGCATTTCAGAGACTTTGACTGTTTCACTCTGAAATGAGGCACTTTTTTAGCATCATCACACCTTTCGAGCCTCGCCGTGGTAGAACGCCCCCCAGCTCCGATTGTGCCGACAACGGGTTTTGAAATCGGGGAGAAAAACTTTCGTCGATTTCCTAAAATTTGACCATTTTGGAATGTGGCTCCGAAATGACAGCGCACTTCCGGTACGGAGACTGCATGAAACAATGAACGCAGCGTCACTGATTTGTTTTGCAGTTTGTTTTGCGGACTCAAATTTGGGTAGTTACTACTTAAAAAGAAGTCGTTCCGGAAAAAATTACGAAAATTGAAACTTACTTCGCATGCCGTAGTACGAGAACCTCTCGCAGAACTCATTACTGATAATGAAGAAAACCGACTTCGGGTACTTCAGTTTCTGAAACAAAACAACGATTTATTGTAGTATCTATGCAATTGCATTTATTTAAATTTCATGCACAGTAATTTGTTTCTTTATTTTGCTCCGTCCGCTCCAAAACACAATGAAATGATAGTAACAGTCATGAATATTAATTATTTAAAGAACCAAGGCGCTGTATTAACTACTGATTATTTTATTTAACTGAAGTTTTTCGACCTTGTGGTCATCATCAGCGTAAGTTAAATAAAGTGATTATGGTAATTGATACAACGAACGCCTTGGTTCTTTGAATAATTAATATTAGATATTATGGCATCGTTCAAACACACATCTATAAAAAAATATAAATACATAATATAGAGAATAATAGTGAGGTGTTCGTTGCGAACACCCTATTTATCGATCCTTTTTCATAAGTTTAAATGGTGGATCAATCGATATATCGCAAAGCACGCCACGCCACTGATACCTAATTATTAAACAGCTCTCAGTATTGCGGGCCCCACCCACTTTCCTAAATCGTTTATGCAAATTTTAATTGTGTGGTAACAATAATTCCGGTCTCTGTATAACACTGGAACAAAAAGGCGCTCGGACCAAGAGTCCATAGACTCTTAATAACATTTAAAAGAAAAAATACTCTTGATTCAATCGGATTTTTGCTTGAATCAAAAGGAAATCCGCTGAAATCAAGAAGCTTGGCTCTTCGATTCAAGGAAAACCCCGATTGAATCAAGAGTATTCTTTCTTGTCAATGTTATTCAAAGTCTGGACGCTGGATCCAAGCTTCTTTTTTTCCAGTGAACAATGCAGCGCTTCGATTGTTGAATCGTTATCGAATGACCGCGATCGATATATGGACGTAATTCTATCAAACGGAACTATGTGCACTGTGGCGTGAGCCTTGTTATGCACATTTTCTTATGGGTCGCAGGGCTCATGTTTTAATGCACATAGTTCCGTTTGATAGAAATACGTCCATATACCTACATATAGCATTGTTAAGATAGGGAGTTATCGATCAAGGCCATTCGATGTCGTCATGTGAGTGTTGGATTTCCAAAAGTTGGAGGCGTTTCCGCTTTACAGGGATCACACGTAGTTGACTGTTGCGCCTTGATGTAAATATTCGTGTCCCAGAGATGTACGTGTCGCATGTTCAAAAATTGAAGGCACTTTCGCTTTTGTCACTTCCTCATAGATACACGGGATTCGTTACTTGTAGCACTTTAATGACAGAGTACATACCTACTCAGGGAGAAAATTACCATTAGTCACACGAGGCTGGAGTGTCTACTGGGTGTCTAAAAGTCTGGAATTTCCGGAAATAGTACTGATTTTTTAAGGGCGGCCCGGAAGTACTGAAAAAGTGCGGAAATTCCGCAAGAAAGTCCGGAATTTTTTAATTTTTTTGTCTCAATTTGAGCGAAATTCAATTTTTTTTAAATTTCGTCAATAATTGGAAGTACTGAAAAAGTATTGAATTTTTTTTTTGAGAAGGTACTGAATTTCTTGGGAATGTACTGAAAAAGCACTGTAATAGTACTGATTTTTTGTTAGCCTGTTTGAGTAGACACCCTGGTCTAAGGCCATCAATCGAATCGGTCATTTTTAAAAAGACCTAATCGCCAAAAATGAAAACCCGAAAAAACAATAGAAACCGCAACAATCGACCCGTTTTAAATCGTAGCTGATTTTTTAATGTGATTAAATCATTAATCGCTTTAATATTTCAGAGCTCTGAAAATTAAAGCGGACCGATCAAAACGTTTTCTACTGTTTCTCTCGTATTAAACTCGAAGTCTCATAAGCCTCTTAAGTCTTTTCCAAAAGGACCAATTCAAATCGGCGAGCGTCGCGACTTACGAGTACTACACTGATTGTAAATTGGTTGTAGCGCCTCGATGCAACTATTCGTGTTCCACGGGTGGGCGTGTTGCATTTTCAAAAATTAAGGCGCTATCGCTCTTCTCGCCATAGGAGTTGTCGTTAGTTGTAGCACCCGAATTTGAGAAGCCTGTATAGAGGAAGTAGGTATTGCATCTCAATAATTTTACTACAAAAAAAAAGGCCGTGGTCATCTAATTTCAGGCTTTCGTGAATATTCTGATTTCCAACTCTTGGGTAAAATAATTTCTGAAGAAAGTTTGAGAGCTGACTAGAAGACTATACTGAGTTGACCGTAGCGCCTAAATGATCAATTCGTGTTTCGCGGATGTGCGTGTTGCATATTCAAAAATTGAAGGCACTTTCAATTTTCTCACCTACTCAAGAATGCAAACGCTTGGTGGGCCCGGGGCTGTAATTTTAAATAATTAAATTTTTTGGAAGTATCTGTAATTTCTGAACTCAGCTATCCACTGTAAAACGGTGGCGGCGAGTCGAAATTCGCGCCGAGAACCGGCTGGATTCAATGGCGCTTCTCGGCGTTTTATGGCATTCCAATTAATGGGTCCGCGACGCCAGGCTCTTGAGGTGGAGTGGTCGCCCAACAATGTGCTCCTCCACTCAAACAACCCGTCAATGAGAGAATTAAGCTTATCGCGGCCTCAAATCCCCAGAACTCGAGCCTATCTTATCTTCGAGCACCTACTCGTAAAAATGCAGCGTATCTAACTACTTGTCACTAGATTACCGGGCTCCGATGATGAAACATATCCGTCATGCTCATCCTCGCTTTTTCCCGCTTCTCCCCATAAACTAACCGGTGCGTACGCTTGCTTACATCAGGTAGCGGGTTCGAATGTTTTATGTCTACCGGTGAACCTTGTCTCCACGGGCCTTTTCACGAAATTTGTCCCAGGGAAAAATCCCACGTACGAAGTTGGGAAAAATATTGAGTTAATCAATATTTTTCCCAGTACCAAGTACGGTCCTTTTACTCCTAGAACCCACTGAGAGAGGAAGTAGAAGTGTAAACGAACTGTGCGATATTTTGTTGAATACTCCATTGTTCATGTTTGTTTGGTTAAAATAATGTGTCTAATTGTCAATTGAGAGCACTTATTATTTTAATCCCGGTTAAATACTCGACTTTATCTGATTTAGGTATCCTCCCGCTGAAACTAATTGCAGGACTGTATGAGCCTCGTCCCGTGGAGACGGTAACTGGGAAAAATCCCAGAAGTTTCATTCCTGCGATTCGAACTTGAGACAAATCCCATGAAAACGTCCCGTGGATACAAGGTCGTAAAGATACTCAAGGTGGATCTTCAGCATTCGTGCGATGCATTCTGGGTTGCGATCGACTTGCTCCAAATTTTAAACAGTTTTGATGTATTATCTCTAGGAAATCGAAATCTCAGTCCCTTTGGACCAATCATCAAGTAATTTTCGGGCCGAAAGTCATCAGATACCGTTTTCATTTAGAATTGATCACGAAAAATTTGAATTTTCCGATCCCAGGCAGGGCCGGATTTACCTACTTGCCGCCCATGGGCCGCCTGTATTTTGCCGCCCCCTCCTCATTCGTTTCGAAACATCAATAAAAACCATCAAGTGATCGTGCCGGAGGGGGAGGGGAGGGGTGCATAAGACGCGTTTACTCGTGTTGGGCACATTTTTTGCGAAAGCCCTGTCAACACTACTAGCAGAAGTTCACGGAACTTTGCGTAAAAGTTAAGTTCCGTAAACCTATCTCTGTGTGAACAAGACCTTCCATTCGTAAGAAATGAACGTAAAAATTATGCAAGAACAAACATAAATGTGGTTTAATAATTATAACCTCCGCCGCCGCGCCGCGTTGACCGCACTGTGTTTGGCGCAATGTGTGAAGTATTCCTACAGTCTTGTAGGCGCTATGCGTTCCACGCCGACCGCCGCTGAACGCACTGTGTTTGACGCAATGCGTGAAGTATTCGTGCAGTCTTTTAGGTGCTAATATGTGTTATAAACCAACCGCCGCACAGTGGATTGAGTCAATTAGAGAGGTCGGACATGACATTTTTGACAAAAAATGCAAATGTTGGTGTTTATTTTGTCACATTTTAAAGTTCAAGGGGTGGTTCTGGAAGAAAATTTCACGAGAAAAGCAATAGATTCACTTGCAGAACATCAGATTTTTATATAAACGCAGTTATAAGCGTTTAAAGTTTCCAAATTTTGTCCGACCTCTCTCATTGACTCGATTCACCGTGCGCCGCGCTGAGGGCTTCTCCTTTTCATCTCAAGTCCCCATCATCATTGCTCTCTGCGCCGCGCCGCTCCATGCCAAATTGCGTGTTTGGTTTCTCTCTTAACTCGACTAATTAAAGGTGCTGTCTCTTGTGTCATCGAAAGACGCTTTTCTCGTTTGTAATTTTTTTTCTGAGTCCGATTTTTTTTACACCTAAATTTAAAAAAAAAAAAAATGCAAAATTTGCCGCCCCCTTTGGCCGCCATGGGCCGCGGCCCATGTGGCCACCCCCTTAATCCGGCCCTGATCCTAGGAAAAACGAAAGCCTACTCGAATCAAATCGCGCACTACAACGGTTTCAGCCGGTTTCTGAATCGGGCGGTATTCCCTCACCACCCTGTCAGTGGCGTGGCGTGAATTGCGATGTATCGATTGTTTTGCCATTTAAACCTATGGTAAAGAATCGATTACTAAGGTGTTCGCTGCGAGCGCCCTGTTTATCGATCTTTTTCCATAGGTTTAAATGGCATAACAATCGATATATCGCAAAGCACGCCGCGCCACTGCACCCTGTGCTGTCCACAGTGTAAACAATCTGCAACAGCTGAGCCTAAGCGCCGATATTGATATTGTCTGATTTGCACACCCCAGAGATGATCACGGCAACGTTTAGTATGAAAAAAATGAAAAAGAAGGCTATATTTTTTTTGAGCGGGAAGTTTAAATTTATTAATTGAAAACGTTAATATCTTTGTAAGGAGTTAGTTCCAGTAATTTTCGTTGTACCTACAAACATTGTTTCTACGCAGTGGCGTAGCGTGCTTTGCGATGTATCGATTGATCTATCATTTAAATTTATGAAAAATAATCGATTATTAGGGTGTTCGCAGCAAACAC